AATAGAATTGAGTAAAAATGAGTTATTCATCTGAAAATTCTTGAAAAGACATATCTCTATTAAAATACATTAAAGTTCTTTCATGTCAATTTAAATATGAATTCAGATACAATTTTGTTAAAATGAAAGGTTTATTGCTAGACATGCATCAACTTTTACTTTTACCTCGAAAAATATCTTTCATTTTGTTTTTGCATATCTTTGTATGCATCTATATAGTATTTCAATATTTGATCTCCTTGTTTGTGATTATATTCTAATTGCCTTAACATAGACTGTTGAATCTTTATTCACATCTGTTCGAAATCAGTATGATGCCAGTGTAAGAAAAGTAGCAATTTATATTTTATGATTTTAACCATCAGTTGATCCTTGAATGGAAGGTTATTATAATTTGCTCTTTTTCTTTATTTAGTTTGTTGAATATTTGAATGTATAAGTGTGTGTATTTAAGAACAGAAATAATAAAAAAATAAAAGCGAAATAAATGAAGACGAACAAGAAAAACAAAATAAAGAATGAAAATTAAAGAATTGTCTCTGGTCGATAACTCGATGAACTACTTGTATATGTTGTTAATTCACTTGAACTTCCTACACTTGATTCGGCTACAGATGAACCAGATGATGAATCTGTTGATCCTGAATGTGATGATGACTTATTTTTTGTTTGATTTTCACTTGATCGATTACATTTGAGAAGTGGCGTACATCCTGATGTACTTGTTTTTTTTGATGACGACTTTCGATCTCTTGTTGCAAATGATTTTTCGAGTTTTGTTTGACTTTTATTCGATATAATATAATAAATTAACAATGATAAACCAGAAAGAACTAGACCAACACAAATCCCAAGTATTAACATCCAAATGTTACTTGCACTTATTCGTTTATGTACATAAGGTTTAGTTGAAGTATCATTGATAAGACGTTGTAATTCAGTTGTCTTATTCGAAATCAATAGATCTGACGGTGGTGGAATAGTAGTAGATCCATTTATATGAAGTTCAAGATCATCCTCATCATCGGATGTTGGTATGAGAAGATTTGATACTTGAATAATACTTAGACGTAGTGGCAATATTGATCGTTGTGGTGAAGGAAATGTGAGTGAGATATTCATACAAGGATTTGAATTTGCTACTGTACAAATATGTAAAACTGGTCTAAGTACATCAGTATATAAAATAACATTATTATATGCAACAATATCATCATAACCTAATGTTGAACGTGGTCCACGTTTTTCTGTTAAAACTTGTCGTCGATCAAAATTTGTTTGTTCATTAAGATGTACAGCAAGAATTTTTTCTTCTAAACTTAAATACATTATTTTATTTGAAAAATCAATTGTCCCTGAACATGGATATGGTCGATTATCATATGATGATGGAATTTTAAATAAAAAAATACATTCATTAACACTTAATGAACAACGTATAACTGTACACCAACCATATGAATCACCTATAATATAACCATCAGATGTTATTTGATCAATAATCATATCACTTATACGTAAATTAGGACTTAATTCACGTAAACGTTTCATAAATGGTGCTGAACCACGTGTACGTGGTCGTTGAAGTAAATCAATTATTTGTATATCTGAATGACCATAAACATAAAGTATTGATGATACATAATGAATATTGAGAAATAATGGCATTTCACTACGAATTGAATTCATAGCTGAATGATTAGAAAGATTTGATATCCACCAACCATCGGAATATTTTAAACGATAAACATTACGTTCATGTGGTGCTGTTAAATAAATATTGCCATGATCATCACCAGCAACATCATGAAAACGAGGTACATCTTCTTGAGTAAGTAATAAATGAAATGAATCATCACCACCAAATATAATTGGCCACCAAACATATATACCAGATAATGATGTTAATACAACAACAGATGATATTTGTTTTTTTATTGATAAATCATCATCTTCAATAGTTTCTTCATGATGTTCATGTGGAATAACGAAATGATCACGAGCTGATGTCGTTATATTTCGTACTTTATCAGCTTGTGCTGATATTCGTTGACGAATATTTAATGAAGTATCATTTTTTAATGAGAATATTTTACTTTTTATTATGGACGGTGTTGTCCATGCAAATGTCAAATTGACAGTAAGAATAATGATGATGATGATGGCTGAATAAGAATAATAGATCATAGAAAAAAGGAATTATACTAATGTCAATCATCAGCTATAAATAAAAAAGAAAAGATCTGTGACAACAATATTGTTCGTTATTGAAAGATAGAAACATTCAAAAAAAAAATAAAAAAGAACTCTTCTTTCATTTTGTTTTTAAGTATAACAAGATTCGATGTTCTCTCTTTATATCAATACTATTATATAAGCAATATTATGTGTCTATGTTGCAATAAAATTCTACTATTTAAACTAATATTTAAGTTAATTGCTTTAGGTCATCGTTGAACATAGACATATATGTATATATCAATACAAATACTTTTATTATCATTTGAAAGTAAATAACGATTGATAACACGATGGTTACCTTGATGCAATAGAAGAATGATTGATGAACACATATTTATGATTAGATCTGATGCGTGAAAAGAAATAAAAGAAGAAGCCATTTGTAGAGAAAGAATAAACGTATGCGATGCCCTATCAGAACATCAATTGATATCCTTACTACTCGTATTATTTCAGAAGATGCAAGGCGAATGCTTGAATATATATATATATATATCATAAATTAGTTTTGAACGAGTGTTATATCATTAGTATGATACACACAAGAAAACACATGATGCTACTTTTCTCTGTTAAAATATCAATCTATCACAGTTGTTATGTTCATTAACGATGGTCACTATGCAAAAGAAGATTATATACTGTCCTTTTTTTGTATCACTTTCATCTTATTGCCGTATCATACACATAAGGAAAATGGCAAAATAGTTTTCTTTGAGCCTATATTCTCTATACAAAATGATAATAATAAATATTTGTCTTGACAAAAAAAATATGTATGTTTCTTAAGAACTTTCTTAATTAAAGGATAAAAAGAGACAGACATTTATTTGGAAAACTAAATTAAGCGATAGAAACTGTTTATATGAAAATAAGAAAAAATAGTCTGTTAATTGCATACCCAGTTACAAACGTCGATAATCCTTTGTGACGAAAGCAATCGTCTGGTAGTTTCGGTTTTCAGTTGATATATTACAAGAAATACAAATATATGCCTTTCGTATGCGCTTTTATGATCAGTAGTCAAGAACTTTTCATTTTTTTTCTTTATATAGTGTCTGAGCAGTCTCTCATCATTTCTTCCTTCTCTTTCTCTCTTTTTTCCTTGCCTTTCTCTTTTCGTTTGACATTAATGTGTGCATGGCGCAACTTACACATACGTATCAAAAGAAAAAAAAAAAAGAAGGACACGAATGTGCACACGTTGTAAAAAAAAAACACAACATTTGTGGTTTTTCTCCCTGCTTGTTTTCTTCGTCTTTTATGCATAACGGTTTTGTTACCGTCGTTCTTTTGTTGATATCTTACAACTACTAACATAGGATCATTCTTTTTTTTTTTGTTGGCTTGTTCTACTTATCGTGATATCCTTGATAATATTTCTTTGTTTGTCCTCTAATATGCCATACACGATACAATCGAGATATCAACAATGATGCCGCCAACATGACACAATCAATCAATGAATTATGATTTTTTTTTCCCCAATACATCATTCATATTAACTACTAAATAAAAGCAGTGTAATTTAAAATGTACATATATTGTACATAGAAAGTGAACATGGATAGAATGACTTTTTAATAAATACTAAAAAAGTATATTTGATGAAACATTTATATATATACACATATGTCATGCTTGTGTAATTGCATTTGATAATAATTGTATCAAATGAAAAATGACCATATTTCGAACGAATATATTAATAATTAGTTCTAATAGTTCTATTTCCTTTTAGTATAATTTACATGCATTACATGGTCATTGTTAGAAAGAAGTAATATCATCAATCAGTTTTTCTGTAACATATTTCATAATTCAAAAATGAAAATCGAACTTTGGTAGTTTTTTTTTTCTAGACGATATTTGGCTTCTGTCATTCATTTGAAAAGAGATGTCCGAAGATTCACCAACGCATGCTCTGGAATTTTGCTAATTTGACGATACAATAGATGTGGATTAAAAAACATTCCTATCGATTGCATTGATGAGCTTTAGCAAAGTATGATATATATTCAAACAATATTAGCTTCATCCCTCGGATGTATTCTGTATTCAAAGAATTTCGTGACAGCTTGCAAAAATTCATCCTATTTTCATCATTGCTGAACGCCTGTTGACGAAACTCCGGTTACCCTTAACAAGACAAACAGGTGTCAAGTGTTCTTTGTTTAAAATGATTATTGAAATATACAGCTTCTATAATTGTTCGACTATCTATTCATGATTGTCGAGAGATAGTGAATTGAAATCAATAATTCTTATCTACACATATCATTACGTCAATAGTAATATGTAAAATGTTGAAATTTAATCTATAGCAAAATTTCATTTATTACAATATGTATTATAAATATAAACTAGGCAGATGCGTAACTTAGTATTAAAGGCATGGAAGGAAAGGGGTGGTGCGGACTGGTCGAGTCCTAGAAAAAGAAGAACTGTGTACACAATTTTTAAAAACAGGAGGGAACTGTCACGCCCCACACCCCCTAGAACTAAATATCAATACATGAAGGTTGGATGCTAACGAACATCTATTGATTATATGAAGGATTCTCCAATACAATTATCCCTTAGTTTCGTTTTTTCTTACATCATATTATGCGTTCGTCGGCAATCTTTTTGCTTCAGTACATTGTTTTAATCTTCTATTCACCTCGATAAGTGGCACTTAGATTAGTATGAGTTTTTATAGTAATAAATTGTGTAATTGGACATGAATAATCAGTAGAAATACGATCAATAAATTGAAAATGACACGTCCATTGCCTGGATATATTACTTATAATATGAGAATCTCGTATTATATTGAATCGGGAAGTATTTCATTATCAATATTGATTCATCAGCTCCTAAATCTATAGATAGAGAATACTAAAATAAAACTGAATTACGTATAACAACAAGGCACGTTTTTTTTCCAAAGACTCTAAATAAATATAAATATTAAAATATACTTGAAAAATAAGGAATTCATTATCATTATTATATGGTCAGCACATGTTTGACATCAATATCTGTCTTCTGAGAATGAAGGCTTTCTTTTTCTTCGTTTTATCTATGATAAGCATTTTGAATTTGTTTTACCATAACGACATGTTAACCTTTTTTAATATATAAAAATAACAACCGTAGCTGAAGAATCATGTTAAGGTCATTTGATTTGTTACGATAGTATTCTAATGATTGTTACATAGAGTGAAATGAGTTTCTCAGTTATTATATGCGTCATTTTTTTTTTTGTAAAATTTGTATGTTAGTGTTCAATGTATGATTCGATCTAAATCAAGACCAAGTACAACCTTTTTGGTGTTTAATTGAAAAATACTTCTTCTTTTCTTTAGTAATACGAAATCATATAATTATGAGAAAAAACTAAAATTGAAATTGACATGCAAAAGTCGAAATTAAATTTTGATTTGAAAATTTTCCTCAATTGAATTTTATCTGATGAGAGATCATGTTCATATTTCGCTTCTTATTAGGACTCAGTAAAATTAAGCGAAGGGGAAATGGACTTGACCTATGTCTTAAGAAACCTGAGAGATTCCTACTATTAGAATATTCTATGAGTTTTAACTCAAACAAATTTTAAATGTTATCGATCGATCGAGTCTATTGCTTTCCATATAAGATATTGCTATGTTTCAAACACTCAATATCTCACGTACAATATATATTAATTTGAATTGAAATTTTTAATATATTTTGATAATACTAAAACTTATTTATAGATGAAATATCAAGTGACAATTTCATAATTTAGGCTTCCATGAAGACATAACTTAGAAGTCACATAATTCAATACAATGGCCATCACTCCCGTTAACATAGGATATTTATTCCAGACACATTTCGACTTCAATTAGTCTTACAAAAGAGTCCAATAGGAGTTTTATCAAAATCTGACAGTTACAAATATTTCCTAGTTGGATCTATCATTTCGCCTTGATGACACTACCAATTAGACTAAATTTCATATAAAAGATCAATGAACGAGTAATTTTCTTTGTAATATCAATGACAAAAATAATTCTGATGAAATACTAGCAAACACATATTATTTAATCGCCGAACATTTATCATCTCAACTATTCTCGACGATTCGAATTACTATGAATACGATATTTTGTGTCTATAATGTCCATCTATTGCATTGAGATGTTAACCATTTCAAACGTAAAATGATGACCTTGAATGAATAATTACTTTACTTGAGTCATTAGGATTTATTTTTAACAACAAATTTGTATAAAATTGACATGAAACTGCTACTTTCTTATTTGATGACACTTTAAGCATATGTATTTAATGACAAATGAGTTCTTTCTGTGGTGTTGTGTAATGTTTGTTTCTTTGCTTTTCTAATGCAACATTCAGACGTCATATTACATGAATTTCAGTTTAGGCCAATGAAAATATCAAACAAGCATTTACAATTATATTCTTTTTTTCATTTATAACAATAATCAGAAAAAACAAAAGCAAATCAATGCATTATTTGACTAAATTTGAAGACAATATGTCAGAATAAGCGTTTGAGAAAAAATAAAATCTGACACTTAAAAGTTTTCATATCAATGATGAATGAGATTTTTGTGTTGATAAGAAGAAAATATCAGTATATTTTAAGTAGTTAAAATATAGTTCATTAGAAACATGTATATTCATATTGTTTCTAAACTAGGAAAATATTTTAATATTCTTTCGATCGAAAGTGGTCTTTTTTCACATACATTGCACAACAAATTCTTTAATAATGTAATTTGAAGTTCGTTTTTTCTCTCTATGATGCCATTATATTATGTGTCATGAGCTAAAAAAAAAATTCATACGTCATTTTTCGAGGTTTCTGATATACGCTTACCTAGGTAAATGTTACAACATCTATAAGAAATATGAACAATGTTGATGGAAATCGGCGAAAAATAAAAATCAATAGAGGAAAACGACGACAGAAATCAAACATTGGCCCTTTCATGAGCAGAAAAAACCTAGAATTTGCATATCTGTCTTTTTGTTTTATCAATGTTGGTAAAAAAAAAACGAAGATAGTCGTATAGAATAATTATTTTTACGAATCCTTATTTGGTTATATTGTAAGAAAGTAAAAAAAAGAAAACGAATGAAATTTCAAACAAAAATCAATATTGAATAAAAATTTTCTTAACAAATTCTTCTCTATTATTATTGAGTCATAATCTAATAATAATAATTTCAATGTTTTGAATTATTGTTTTTCTTTTTTTAATACTTATGTTATGTTTGTTGATGGTGCAATAGTTGGCAGCGATTAACAAATATCAAACGACGCAAATTCTAAAAGAGAGAAATTCTTATGAGAAAAAATTTGTAAATAAATGTGTAACCAAAGATACACCATCGAATCGGCATGCATTTTTATGTGTCATTAAGGGTATCCTGAGTCAAGTTCTTCATATCAAACAACAAGAGAGAGAGAGAGAGAGAGAGAAATGAAGGGTTACCAAACAGTTACAGCATATTCATACTGTGACAGCATGATGAAAAATCAGAAATAAATTTCATGAGTCACTCTACACCCCTATTATCAACATATGTTACTATCAATGGAGAGTACAACCAGCTCTAGCATCTGTACATGACGAAATAACAGATATTACTTTTACGGGGTTTGAAAAAGAAAGAGAAAAAGAAAGAAAAAACCAATGTATAAACAAAATACCTGTCAAAGTTTTTTCTTAATGCCTCTCTTTCTCGAATAAAAAGAAAAAGCAACAAAAAGGGGTCATCATTCCTTCCATATATATATTTATCCCGTTGATCTCATGGTATCAGTTAACCTCAAACAAAGAAAATCTTCATACAATACTATGTTCTGCACTGTTTGCAATTTCTAATCGTCGTGTGTCATCATATTCAGTTCTTGTGGCATCAAGGAATTTTCACACGACCTTTCTTACCTAATATTGAATCAAATCAAAAACTATCAGTAGGTGTTTGTACTACACATTTTCTTTTGGATAAATGTGACGTTTTCATTATATATCTTGCAGTGCAGTGTATTTTACCGCAAGGCCAAACAACACCAGAAAAATGTCTGTCTAATCCTTGGCATGGAAAAGGTTTTTGTGAACCTCATCAATATAAAGCAGCCATTGATCGTTGTGAAGGTGGACATAAATCATGTGATTTAGGTATTGAAATTTATAAAGAACTTGTTAAAGTTCTTGAAAATTGTTCTGAATCTTTACGTCAATGGTCATTGATAAGTCAAAAAAAAATTGTTCAATCAAAAGAATTTGGTACAACAAGAACTGTATGGATTGAGTCTATACAAGCAATAGAAAAATTAGCTGAAAGAAATGATGATATAACGAATAATATTCAACAAAATGTTATTGATAAAATGATTGCTTATAAAAATTCAAAATATGAAAAATCATTTCTTCATGTAAAAAAAGTTAAAGAATTTGAAAAAGATTTTAAGAAAATACAAAAACCATGGTTAGAATTATTAAATAAAATTAATGAAGCAAAACAAGAATTTCATCATGCAAGTCGAAAATTACATCAAGCTAAACGAGCAGAAAATGTTATTAAAACTGATGTAGGTTCGGCGGATGAACAAAAGAAAAAAGTTAAAGATAGTGTTGATCATTATGAAGCTGAAACAAAATCATGTAAAAATAGATATTCTAAATTAATTGATGATATGAAAGCAAAACAACCAACTTATCAAGAAGAAATGTTTAAAGTATTATCACGTACAGATGATTTTGAACGAGATCGTTTAAATCAATTTAAATTAATGTTTGATGCTCTTCAAGAAGCAGTGTCAATTGAAAAGGATAAACGTCATGCTGAAATGTCTACTCTATTTAAAAATTCAATCAACAAGCATGATATTAAAAATGATATTCAATATTTTAATATACATTATGGCTGTGAAACAAAAACTAAATGGCCTGTCTTTGAAGATGTACATGAATAATCTCATCCTCTATATATGCATATTAGTTTAAATATCAAAAAAGATCAATTTGACAAGGCATATCGAGAGGAGAGAAAATTCAGAGAGAATACTTCTTATGTAGATATTTAGTTTGATCAGCAAATTTATCAAAAAGTGTTGAAAAAAAAATTAAGAACCGATAAGAAGTTTTCTTTCTGCGAATCTCCTCGATATGATGTCAAGTCTTGTTCTAATCAATTGTATGTTTTTTCTTTGTGTCTATCGATAAAATGTTCATTTTTATCCCCCTTTTTTTTTATTTACTATATTACCAATGTAACCTTTAATTCAGAAAAAACCTAAAAAACAATTGTTTATATTACTCAATTATGCTGTTTTTATTCAGAATTTAGCATAAATAAATGTTTAATTTACAAAATATTACAATTTCTACTATTTTTCGAAATTACAATGATAAGAGTATTGCTCAATATCATTTCTGTTATCCTTGAGAAGGACAGAGAATAATATTAAACTATCGGAAGTAATTGATGAATCATGTTTCTTTTTTTTCCAGCTTGAGAGAAATTAATATTAATCTCGATTCTTCCATGTTATTTACTTCCGTTTTACGGTTTACATTTTTCATCATCTTGATTTTTCCATTTAATAAATATTTACTTTCAATTTATTAAGAATATTTCCCATGACGAAATTGATTGCAATACGGAAAGCACATTATCGAGATAACTAGAAGTTTCTTTTGGTATATCTAAACTTATGCAATAAAAAGAAACCTATAAAAGTTTTCTCTAATTGCCAATAGATAACTACCATCTTATACTTCATTATATATTAAAAAATTCATTGGGGAAATTCAAAATAAATTGCATCGATTCTCGAAAGTAAAATAGCTGTTCTTTTCACAGGCACCATCATTTTTCTACTTCGTCATAAAAACTTCTGGAAAGAAATATTTCGAATCTCTATTGATAAACATCGAAACATTTTATTAGCTGTTTTTTTTTAACTATACGAACGAAGAAATATAGAAATGACAACTGGTAATTATTTGAATACACTTTTGTTCGTTGCATTACAGAATTCAAAAAACTTTCAAGTAGTATTTACTTGAAAAAAAAGAAACAAAAGAAAAAAAATAATAAAAAAAAGACGTCAATGTACATAATGAAATAAATGTAAATATATACTAATGGAATAAGTAAACGTATTTGAATAAAACAATTTTTTGCGACATATCAACATGTCTATTACACAAAATCGAACAAATACTGACACTAAACAGACACCTAACAATGTTCCACCTTATTATCCTCATCCACAATATGGATATGGATCACTATCATCCTATTATCCAGGATCTACGGATCCTTATATGTATTCATCACCTCCATATTATAATACAGAATATAATAACTATCCAGTAAATGAGTACGGTCAACCGACAGCAGCACCTACATATTTTCCTCCTATTGTCAATCAAAATCAACCAGAATATAATACATATCCTACTTATGGACCGAATGGATCAATCGATGGGTCTTACATGTATCCTCCAAGAAATGATCATATGTATTATCCGGATTATTATTATCCGAATTACTATCCTGGTTATGAAACAGCAAGACGTGAGACTTTGCCACCAATACATCAACAAGTATTTATTTTGATTTTATTTTAATGAGGCATCAACTTTTCTTATATTTGTAGCCACCTAATTCAATTCAACCTGCTTTACCAGCTGAAGATGAATATGAAGTATTAAGAGTTACGGATTTGACTTATCGTGCTTCATCACCATCGAGATCAACTGGTAGAGATACTGAACAAAAAACTAGTCGTCATAGTAAACGTAAAAAAATACATGAATAATGCTTAAGTTTTCTATTCATGTTTTTTTTTCGTATACAAGTGTCAGATATCGACAACAACATGGCGTAATCTTTCTCATTAACGCTGTCATCTTAACGGAGACAGCATGAATTCCTTTTTCACGCCTTTGTATGATTTGAGATATATAAATATATATATATATAAGAAAAATTATATCAAATGAAATATGGCAATGCCTCTTGTAGATGTAGATATATATTAAATGAGAGAGAGAGAGAAAAAATAGGCAAATAATTTTAAGGGTTATGGGTAAATACACACATACATTAACAGAGTGAAACTGTTCCTGATCAAATGTAAGAAAAGAGATATGAGTAAATATATGTTCAAGCGATAGAATCGATAGTATTTAATTTTAATATGGTAATTATTCATGTCTAAACTGCGTGCTTATTTTTTTTTGTATTGATTTATTATCATATTATTTATTCTTCTCCAGCTGGTTCAGATGCTGAAGCTGCTTCTGTTGTTGTTGCAGGTTGAGCACCACCACCAGGTTGTCTATTAAATTTTGTTTCTAATTGTTTACGATTTCGTTCATGAGGATGAAGTTTATCCTGATAACAACCTTAATAAAAACAAAAACAAAAAAAAATAAAAAGATAATATAAGAATATTTTTTTTTAATTCTCATCTTACTCTTGCAATAAATATCTTGAGAAAAGTCCTTGTATGAAGCCAATGTCAAAATGCTATTGCCTATAATAAATCATAAATAAATAAATAAATAAATAATCTAAATGAAATAAACTTACATGTTTTACATTTGAAACAACCTTTATGCCATGAAGCACTACATGCAGCAAGTTTTTCTGCTGGATAAACAGTTTTCTGACAACGTGGACATATTTCACCACCACCTCCCCACTGTGGCATTGTTTAAATAATGAAGAGAAAAATAAAGAAGATAAATATAATCTAAAAGAAATATTTAAATTAACTTGTCTATATTATATATTCGATCAATTGTCGGATTGAATAATCTTTATATAACTTTCTATGCTAATCGATGTATGTCAAAAAGAGCAAAACATTTTCTTTCCGATGTTAAATATCTAAGATAATAAGTGATCAAATTGACCAAAAACTCGTCTCAATTGTTGGATTATGCGTACAATCACGTCTTAACGAATAATATCATTTATATAAGTAGAAAGAAAAAAAATGCAGTAGCAAACAAGATTATCTTCTATTGCTATGATTTGCACATCTACGATATATGCGATCAATAAAAGAGAGAGCGAGAGAGAAAAAAAAAAAAAGAAGAAGAAAAAAGGGGAATGTCTCATACTAGTCAGCCTTGGTGATATAGCTGTTATTCGTCGTTATCATGTTCCATACATACACATACGCCCACATATAAAACCTTTCCTTTTTTTTCTCTTGTTCTGTTTTGTAGTCGTTGGATAAACAAAAAAAGAAGGTTGTTATTGATAATGATTTGTCATGACGATGAAGAAGATGATGATGATCTATCTTTCTCGCTCTATATCTCATCAGTCAAGCAACGATTGGGTGGAGTCAGCAACAGGCGAACGTTATGCTCCCAATTTATGACGTTATTTGTATTTTTTTCCTCCTTTGCGATATTCTATTGGTATTACGTCAATAGAAATAGCAGTGATGGTATGCTTTACGATATCAATAACCTAATGACTCGTTTGAAGCATTCGCTAGTTACTAGTACAATGACGTGTTTGTCCTATAGTAGAGTAAAACAAAAAAAAAGGAGTAAAGACCATTATGTCATTATCACATCTTCGGACAAGAGGTGACAAACAAACATATCTCGATTGTCGTCCGATAATTATACTATCCAGACATTTACAGGCGGATGATAATCTTTAAAAAAAAAAGATATGGATTTGATCGACAAAAGATGGGTTATACTCTATATCCAACATATAAAAAATAACGTATAACAACTTTCTATCGAAGTGAAATTGCTGGTATCAATCATGAATATAGAGAAAACAAAGAGAAAGAGAGAGAAAAAGAGCTTCCCACCAATATTAATAACAACAATAACAACAACAAATATAAGCATTCGCCCACGTATTAACACTTAGCATAATGAAAAATATTCCTTTCATCTTAGTCCAGTATGTCTATATGCTATGAGAATATTCATCGAAAGAAATCTCTAATCAAATTTTTTTCTTCTCTAGCTATCAATCACAATAAGGAAGCTTCTATATACATATTGGTTATGTTTTGAAAGAATCCTAGATGTATGTCTGATAGATTAGACACCAACGAAATGCCATCTATATTGTTGTCAGTCTTCATCTGTCTGTCCAAATAAATGAGTAGATTAACATGTACCAAAACTTGTTTTGTTTATTTTGCTCGTACAATTTAAGAAAACAAAAAATTAGCTTTCGTTTTTGGTAATCTTAAAACTATTTTTATGCAATATTTTCATTGACTTTTTTATAACTTACTTTCTCGAATATTATCTACTAATATATATATATATATATATATATATATACAAGAAACAATACATGATTTGGCATGTGTGTACATGCCCTTTGTTGGAAAATTCTACTACGCCAATGTTTTACACATATGGTGTTTGCCTTGACAAAATAAGTATGACATAATTTAGAGTATTAGGAAAGTACTGAGAGTATCAATTTAAAAGATTTTAAATATATTCTTTATTATTAAGAATCCTATGTCAACATGTCAATAATAGTCATATTTTCAATTAATATGTTGTCATATAAATATATTATGATATAACATTCATGTTCTTTCTTAGATTTGCTCTTATCGAATGAATCTTAAATTGTAACGATATATAATAGTCAAAGATAATTAACAAATAGTTTATCTAAAGAAAAACATTCGTCATAGATTTCTATGACAAGTGAATGCCAAAATCAAGTGCAAAAAAAATGATAATAATTAAAAATAAATTCTGTTGAGTCTTAGTTTCTAGCAAATAATACAATTATAATCTTACGATATTGTTTTTTATTTGTCAAAATTTTTTCTTTGTTTTATTTAATTTAGTTATTGACGGTTCATAAATCATGTTTATAACCTATTTAATATAGTTTGAATTAAAGTCAAATATTTTCAAGTAAAAGTTTATGAAATTAAGATCAATAAACTTAAGTGAAAAATAATATTTTTCTTTTTCAAAAAAATATTTCATAAGAATTGGTTTGTATGTATTGATGATAAATGATAAAGTCGGATTGTTGTATTTACAACTCTAACAATATTCATGCAAAATTGATGAATGGAAACGTGGCTTATAGTGAGACTTGATTATTTGAGAGTTTATTTTTTTACTAATGTACAAAATATTTTTTTTACTGAATATGATGAATCTATTTTCATGAAGAGTACAAGAAGCATCAAGACATACCTTCATCGTCTTAGTATGAGAAACAATGGTAAGCTCTACCAAAAATTCAATAAAAAAGGTATGATTTATTCTTTGTTTTCGTTTAGAAGAATCAATATATCATATTTCTTTTTAAAAAAACTATCCAAGTTGTTATTTCCTATTTAAAATAGTTGTTTTACAAATATATTAAAGTTCAAAGACTTCACTAGTTTGCTGATCACTAACTGATTAATATACTCTAATAATCGATGAAATCTTTAGCATTTGCACTATTCATTTAACCATAAGTTTGTTTTCTTTTTTGATTTTTCGTATTTTCTGTCACTATATTATGACATGTAGTTGGTATATTATTTGTTTTGTTTTTATTTTATTTTTATGTGTATAAATAACATGAAGATCAAAGAGAATTTCTTTACTGAATATAAATGTATATGTGTCATGGAATATTTCTTTATTTATAAAAAGCCAGGAATCCTATTTTTGTTGCTTAGATGTTGACAAAAAACAATTGTTTTATGTTGTTGACGTTGTCAGTGCATCGTTTATAAGTAACTAAAGAAATTTGTCATTGAATAGTAAAAAAAGTACGAGTAGGCGGAAAAGCACTTTTATCGTTATTTTGATTATTTTCTTTTTCTCTTTTCTATTTATCGATCAAAAAAAAAAATCTCTAGAAATCGATCATACGATCTTTTCTTCTGTCATGATTTTTTTTACGCTTTTCAAGTTATTGAAAATGTGAGATATGAATTAGGCTAAACAAGGTGAGAGAGAGAGCGAGAGAGAAAACGAAGGAGAAAAAAAATTGACGATCGCTGCCGTTTTGTGCAGCCGTTCGAACAAGTGAATAAGTGGTTGATTTTTCATTCCGTTGTCGTCACAACAGAAAAACAGACACAAGTGGTAATACGATAATGGTGACCATATGCAATTTGATGCTGTGTAATTGAAAAGAAAAATAGCAGAAAAAAATACATATCTATATATAGGTTTACATATCATTATTACGACTAAAAACAAAAAAATACTCTAAAATGGTCCATATTGGCAGACATATTATTGATCCTCAAACTGGCTTATGCGAAATATGTGATCGTGGCGCCATACATCAGTTTCGGCAATCAAAACATGGAAAACAATTTCTATATTCAAATCAAGATGGGAAATTTACTTATCGCCCTAATGATGATGAAATATATCACAAAGATGAAACAACACGTCATGTACGCAAACCTCTTTATCCTGAGCCACCCCCGCCACGACCACGTCCAGTTGTACATGAACCACCACCACCACGACAACGTGCTGTTGTACATGAACAACCAGTAGTTACTCAAAGAAGAATTGCTCGACGTGACCATTCACCATTGGATGATATTCACCAGCATTCTCCTAATCGTCTGGCAACACTTTATTACGTTAATAATACAGGTCAGATGGCTCCTCGACCTCACGATGTACCAAATGAACCAAGCCGACGTTATCTTGTTCAAGAGCATCATTCACCACCAACAAAGCCAGCTCATGTTGAACGCCGACGTGCACGAACACCACCACCACCAGCGAGTGATTCTTGGCGTTCACCACCCAGACGACAAAATAATTCTGATACACGAGTTATTGAACGACAACATAGAGACATACCAAATGACGCTTATTATCATCAATCACCAAGAAGAGCTGAAATGTATTTTGTTGAAGCACCTCATAGTAACAATCATTTTTCAACATTACGTCCTTCTGTTCATCCGTCACATATTGATAATACTCCATCACCTCGAATTGTTCATCAAGGAGATCCAAATAGAAAACATCATCTTGAACCTATTCAACGAATACATTACGCTGAAGTCGAACCAGCTTCTACAAGAAGGGCAAATAAAAAATTATCACCAAGAAATCATGAACCTCTACAAGAAGAATATATTCCGAATGGTAGTCATGCACGACCTGTACGAAAAATTGAAAAAATTTATCCAACACCTAGACAATATGAATCATCACCACAATTGACAAATAAACATGTGCGAAGTACTTTATCAAATAAAAATCCATCTATTTATTATATTCCATCCGTTAATGAATATTAATAAGATAGTTTTTTTTTCTATATACCATTGTAGCTTTCACATCATTGATTATCAATTAAAATAATATAGAAACTATGTAAATAAAAGCAAAAAATTGTTTTCTTTTGGTGCACTCCTCAAAATGGTCACTTTAAAAGCGATTAAATTTTTTTATTTTTTTAGTGAAGAAAAAGAAGTGAATGACAAACTTTATAGGTTTCGTCCAATATTGAAAGTAAAAGAACAACTTGTCACAGTTGAAAGAAAACTGACAACAACAAGTTTTGCTTACTGATTTAACCGTACAAACAATAAGTTGATCTCAACGAAATTTTTTATTACATAATAAAATTTCAAGTATGTAGAAATCGATTTATCAATGCCAAAATCGGAATATTTAAATATTTCAACAAAATACAATGAAATCAATTTTCTTTTTATGCAAGATCTGAAAATTTTCATAATCAAATCATGCTTGCAAACGGGAAAAAATCAACATCGGAAGCAATTAAAGCTTTCTTAAATTAAAAGAAATTTATAGAATTTATGATTTACTGTACCTGCTAACCTATCTAATAAAATCGAGAAATATATTTAGAATTCAATCGAAAATTTCATAATCAATTTGATTTAAAGTTTTTAATTGACTAACAATCGCTAGTTCAGTGAATACTAGATCTCGAAATAGGCCATCCAGCCTAAAGAGATTGTTCTGTCGGAGCAAGCAGCCCGAGCTTTATCTATTCATTCACGGAAGATTTCCCATGTAAAAAAACAGAAAAACAAATTTGATTATTCAACATGCAAGATAGGTTTCATTTGTTTTTAGTCTTTCTTAATCGATCAATGAAGACTATAATCAAGTAAAATCTTATCCTTAAAGATAAAAAAATCAGAATTTGATGACGTCATTGTAATCGATTTCATTCTCTTTTTCTATACATGAGTTTTACAGTCCGCAATTGATAACAATCAGAAATTTTTTTGATGCGAATGTTTTTGAAATTTTATTTAATTAATAAATAAAAATAAAGAGCCTTTACATTTGGTTCAATGGCATACCTCATCTACGCACATAAGGCCAAGTGTACTATCGATTACACTAAGTAGCATGAGTGTTACTGAAGTAGAACAGTATAACTCAAAACAGTAACTGACTTGAACTTGTTGAAATTAATCAGCGAGTATTTTACTTTTGAAAGATTTTTTTTTAAATCAATGATAGTCTTCAAGAAGTTACAGGACTCATGAACGTATCTTACACTTTCGGTTCAACAAGTAATTCGAATTATATCTTACTCTGTTTTTCTCAAGAATTAGAATTGGCCGACCTTATTCAACTCAGGATTACCATAATAATAAATTTTTTTATAGTGTTTTAACAAATGACTACGGCTTGTGTAGAAATCCTTTTCTTTGTAAAATAAAGATACTTATGACAGTAACATTCTGAGCCGTGTTCGCCTAATAAATTTCCAGAAAATCAAATTTATAATTGAAAAATATTTTTTATTGCAGTTTTGCCAAGCGATAAAGAATTAACTTCGATATCGATTTCTAGACAAGAAAAAGATATTTAAAACATTTTACAGAATATTTATATTCGACTTCATAACGTTATTTTTAGTTCAATCTATTTCTGCAAAAATTTAGATGATGTTTGATTCCTAAATGAGTCAATGGATTAGGGATTATTTTATCAAATTTCATAGTTCACTGTCTCGTTACGATCCATAATATAAAACTTTTGCTTCTTTCGAGTCAATTTCAGACATTTGAATATTTGAATATTTCTCCTATTTCTTTTTTTCTCCTCGACTTCACTCTACATTAGCTCATTACTTTGTGTACCTAACGAGAAAACCATTGGAAGTCTTTTAGTGTCTTTTGTTTCATATTCTATTAATAAACAGCTGATCTGGTAATCAATCAAAAACCAAAAGGATATGATTTTATGATATGATTTAGTTGAGATATCCAAGTTACACTGTGGTCTGCTTATATAACTGAGATTTTTCTAAGACTTTGTCCGCATTAAAAACTCTACTAAACTATTTTGAATGACAAAAATTACAATTTTTAGACGTAGCATCATCGAGACTTGAATTTTTGGAAAACATAATTGCTTGTCCATAGATAATGTTGAAAAATACACCGTTTAAACAATTCAAGTCTTAGTGATGCTTCGTTCAAAACTTGTGCATTTTTAATACACAATAGATTAGTTAATTAGCTAATGTGGATAATGTTTCTACTGAAAAATCAAAGTCTTTCAAGGAAACTTTCATAGAACTTCAATATCTTATTAAAATTTCAACGTGGGTTGATATCTTCGTAGATTTGTTCTACGATGCAGATGCTATACTCATTGAAAAAGCTTAGAGTCAAAACCTTTGAATTAGCTCGGGCTATTTCCTCATAAGTTCAATAGAATCTTTTTTCAATCAATTTCTATTTATTTTCAATAACAATAGTAAAACAGTATATTCTCTAAATTAGAATGCTAGATGTATTTATTACCTAAGTACGAATGTCTTTCTCTTTCGTTGAGCCAATGATGCCTTTTTCGAAGAAAATCGATATGTGCACTTAATCTCATTACAATATGAGAAGAATTTAGTGTTATCAAAGCAGTAATAAGTCTAAGAAATAAATAAATAAAAAGATTACCGCCTTCATAATTTGATAATAGAATTTGTCAATTGTCTCTGTCATCAATTGTAGCCATGTCCACACTCGACACCAACTGAAATAGACTTCTCAAATTTCACCAAGAAAAATCTATATTTTATAATAATAAATATAGTAGAATGACACATATTCTTAGTTATAAGAACATTTATTTTTTCAACATTTTTCATGTCCTATCAAATAGACTCAATCAATCAACTACTAGTTCGTGTTAATTATCATTCTTCCTTATCGATCGAGCAGAGAATTGAAAAAATAACATAATCAATAGATTATCAATACATCTCAATATTGAATTAACATAACTCTTGTTAAATGAACTGTACTTGATGTTAATATTGACACATTCAATGAATTGAATAACATTTTTTATCCAATCTGCTATGATTAATAATAAAAGTTAAGAAGACATTCATCATTATTATTTTTATATTTATATTATTTCAAATAGAAGAATGAGAATTCTTAACAATCATTGGTCTATAAAGCAAAGCTTTTGAATAGTATCAGACAGTTGAAGTATGAACAATACGAAACATTATCAACATAATGATATGTACATATTAACATAAGTAAAACTTTTAAAAATATTCTTCGGCATCACTCTGTCCTCTTAATATATTAAATAAAACGTGTATTCATCTGCATACATTTTACTTCATTGAAATTGATATATTATTTATCAATGTAACAATTTAACTGTCCCGGAATAGAACTTCAAGGTAAATTTGATTAGACTCCATCCATAAGTGATAGGCTTGGTAAATGAAATCTCTTTTTTTTTTGCTCAAGAAAAGTTTGCAATATTTAAATGTGACTTTTAATGTATAAAATATTTTCTGTTACAAGTTCTTATATTGATCAACAACAATTATGAAAAAATTGATTTAAAACAATTTTTATTGTTATATTATTTCATAAGATGTTAAATATACTCAATGATAATCTTTCATATTAGGAAAAGAACCTAACAAGTATCTCATTACATCATCATCGTCCATATCATTAACATCGTTTTCAATAAGACTTGTTAGACAGGCATTTCTTTTTTTTTTATTCTGTTCGTGACGTTTATTTTTTTTTAAATGAAAATATGCATAAATGCACTATTAAAATATTCTTATCATGATCTACATAGATTGTGTTATTCAATATCACACTATTATGATCATTAAACTTTACTTATTTGAAGTAACCATAATCATGATGAAATCGAACGTAATAATGAAGCTCAGAAGTTAAATGTCATAAACAATCATATGGTTGCTGTTATAATAACGGCGATGATTGACGAACAATAATGATGAATATTCTTTGGATTATCTTGTTGATATAATATAACAAATAGAATTGTACTGATAAAAGGAACTATTTTGTCTAGACATACATTGATACCAATACTATTATATTTTTATCGTTGATTTTTTTTTTTGACGAGTGAACAATTCATAATATAGAAAACAATTATATTATTCATTTTCATTCAATCAATGATTTTTAATTGTGCGGACAAAGAAAAATACGTTGACACGCCTGACATATTCATTTCTAAGTAACCCATTATGATATAAAAATTCAATTTTTTTCTACAGAAAATTGAAATCGATTAATTTTAACATGTCCATATATATACATAAAATATGTAAATTTCTTTTAATATTCATAATGATAAGTCTCATTTCCCATTTTGATTATTATCGTTCATTGAATGAAAGGAAAAAGAGAACTGCCATAAAATTTGCACATGCAGTATGATTCTCGAGTTCAAGTTCAGTTTTACTTTGTCCATTTCTCGTTGTCACACATCACGTTTTTCTCTTTTTTTTTCTACGTATATTCTATTGCATAATCAATATAGAAAGAAAAAGTTTAATATCATGGTTAATTATTAACTTAGTGAGCAATAACGAAAGGAGGCATTACATCTTCTTCTTTTTTTTTTTTTTTTATTGAACTCTAATAGTTATGCACACTCACACACATACATATATATATATATAAATTTAGCACCGTATTGCATAGAGAAGAGAAGCACCATCATGAGAAGAGAAAATGAGGGTAAAGTATGTTCATGAACTTTTATATGCTTGTATATTATTATTTAAAATAAAGTATATCTCGACGCATTTGAAACATCATAATAAGTGTTATTAAACTTGGTACAAGTAGAAAAACAACAGATATTATACCAATACGTTGTTTATTTGAATACATAGCGTTCTCTAATGCGGTAACACAATTTGTTCCTGTACAATTATATGTTGTACGAACTGTTGACCATATAGATGCTGATGTTTGTGCAATATCAGTTTCTAATGTAGGTCGAAGTCGATCATAATAAGCAAAACCAGATGCAACAGCACCTGATAAAATAGCCATATAAAGTGAAAGTAAAGCAAGAGAAATTATTAAAAAACGCCAACGACGTCTTAATATGCCGACTACACCTAAAATGATTGGTATTAATACTATACCACTACCGATTATGAGAAGAATATGAGCTAAAGAAAAAAAAAAGTAATAGGAGATTTATATTAAATAATTATTTTTAAGTTTAATAACTTACGTGCATAAATGGAAAAATAAGCTTGTCTATTAAAAGCAGAATTGAGATCAATAATAGTTCTATATAATGGTGGTTCAAGAAGAAATCCTATACCTAGACCAATACCAAGGAGACTTTGTAAAGTAAGAAGTACAAAAAGGATAAGTGCAATTAATTGGATGGTATCCAACGGTCCACATGGAAAATTCATGGTCACAAATAAAGACCACTGTTTATCGATATATTATACCATTATTAATCTGAAAAATAAGTCTGTTAGTCAAAATAATGCAATAGTTTAAAAGTTATTGATAATAACATTTACACAAGTTAAACCTTTTCATACGACGGAAGTTTATTACTGTTTTTCTTTCTTAGTAGTCATTCCAATGTTTAAAAAAGAAGAGAAACATTACTAATCCTATTGATTAGTTTGTTGCCTGACAAACTAGACGACTTACCTAGCTGACATAGAAATTCTTTTATAGTCATATTGACACGGAACACATGGCACGCATTTGAAAAAAAAAAGTCAAGAACAAAACTAATAATAGATGAAGCTAATTTGATAATAAATCTTATTGACAATATACGACTAACTCTTTTTTAAACATAGTTCTATTCTTTCTCATCAACAGCTCGAACATACAAATGCCATCGATGACAGTTAACGATTGAAAATGAATGGTGAATATAAAAAAAAAAAAAAAAGAAAGAAAGAAAAGAAAGGCGAATAGGAAGAAAAGAAGAAAAAAAGACGTTGATAGTGAAATGGTGATTTAAATGTGTAGTATGTTACGAAGTTAGGACAAAGAAGAAAGAATAGAGAGAAAAAAAAAGTCTTGCTTCATATGTTACCCTTCTCTTTTTCTTAATGTATGTCTCAATAGATTGATAACCAACATTTCAAGAACAACGCAACATTTACTAGTACTACCCTTAATCAAAAATCAAAAAGTTCAAACATTATAATAATTATTTTAGTTATATGAACAAATATTTAAAAATCATATTCATTCTGAGATTGCTCGATAATGACGCATTTACATATTTGTATTCAGCTCAATAGAAGAAAAAAAAATTGCGTCTAAAATGATGTTCAAGGCTATTATTTTTATGCAATTGAAATAATGACCTTGGTTTGTAGGTTATTTTTTGAAAATAGATGCCATTGAGACGTAAAGGAGAATGAATTTGATTGATTTAATGCCTGTTCTAAGATAGGTAAAATTGAAATAATTTCTTTTTTTTTTGTTTTAATTAAAAAGATTTCCAAATGTGAATTGAATATATATATATATATGATTACTATATTGAATGTTCAACTGAACATGAATATATGATATATTTGATCATAATATTTACATATACTTGCAATTTCATTTGCCTATTGAACATCAATGCAATTATTTGGCTTCACTAACAATTGTACCGGAGGCATATAGACAGTCATTAAAAGTATATTTATTTAGGTCAACAACCGTTTTAACAAGTGTGAAATCAAGTTTATATGATAGAATTTTCTATCTACTTTGGTGATAATTAAACTATTTGATTGTTTTCTATAAAACAATTCTATTCGTTTCAATAAATATGAGAAAATGATTTAGTTTTGTAAAGGCAGAAGTAAAATACTAAATTGACATAGATATTTCAAGAAATGACCCATTTACCTTTTAGAAAAATAAACGAACTGTTCTAGGTTTAATTTATATCACATGCACTGTTAAGAGATAATATGATAACAACAACAACAACAAAAAAAAAAAAAGTCATTTTCTTATCTGCTTTTAAAAGCGATGTGAATTGTAAGAAATGGCTTAATTCATTTTCACATAGAAAACGAGTGTTAACATAGTCTAAGCAAAAAAATGGTAAGAACGTTTTACTTGTTGAAGTATTGTTTTATATTGAAAAAAATATATTAGACTAATATACAAATGGAAATACCTATACAGATCCCAAAATCGTCTCAATCAATAAGTGACAATACACTTCGTATTATTCTTAGTTATTTTGGTTGGCTAAGCCTGTTTTTTATTATGGGATGGATTTCAAACCATCTAATACCTCAAGTTCGGTAAGTTAGAGTTTTTATTGTTTTTTTTTTAAATATCTAATGAAAGAGACGGAGAATCAATAGAAAAACTCTATCATTTAGACTGATCATTCATTAGCCACGCGACTGTGTAAAATTACAACATGTGTATTTTAGAATAATAAACTTTCCTAGAGCTAATCTCTATATGTTACATGTATATTAAGTTACACCATATACTCTGCAAAAATCAGTGCTAGAGATTCTTGCACTAGCACTTCATGCATTTTAGTTTAGAAAAACTATCAAATGAGGCAGCAGTACTGGATGTTTCAAAACAGAATTCATTTACTGTTCCATAGTGACGCGACTGAGTACGAATATACAAACAAAAAATGCTTCTATAACTGAATGAGAAGTTTAAAAAAATTCAAACGATACAAATTCTTCTTAAAAATCTCTAGATCATACTGAGAGAAGTTTTTTGGAGTCTGGTTTCGCTGAAAGTGTCACTATAGTTGCAATTCGTATTGTAGCATCTATCCTGAAGTTTTTCCATATGTTTGTACTGAAAGAGCTTATTGAGAAAAATAATCCTTGGAAAGCATGTAAGTCAAATGAAACTTGACTAGATCCTGGTTTGCCTAAAATCGTCCATATAACAACAATGAAGTTACAACGAGGCTAATCGCCTCCTTTCAAAAGAATTTTCTCCGCTTTTCTTAGCATAAAACGCTTTAAAATGAGCTATGAAAGACGTTTTATGATCATGATCACAATCATCATAAAAAAATCCTGAATCAGCTGCTGCCATATAAAATGAAATAATTCGTCTATTTAAATTTAAAATATTTTTACATTGTAGGACATTAAAACCAAAAGAACAAATGTTTTGGAAATTAGCTATGGTTCGAGCAGTATGTGGATTATTAACAATTTGGGGTATAAAGTTTTCTTTTATGAAAATTTGAAAATTTTAAATCGAGTTTATTTTTATATATCTAGCTGCCTATCTTGTTTTTGTTGATGGACAACTTGCAATTGATCATGTAAGCGCAACAAGTGATGAATCATGGGCATTTATATCAATTGTACTTGGTTTTTTCATATTTGAAGAACTTACATTAATTTTTTTTGATATAAAATTTCATACATTTTCAAAAGAATTACATATGCATCATTTTTTTGCATTTAATGGTTTCTTTCTAGCTGCATATGGTAATGCTGGTCATTTTTATACAGCAAGAGCATTTATTCTTGAAGCAAGTACACCATTTTCATGTATTTGTTGGTGTTTATTAAAATTAAAACTTGAAAAAACTGATGTTTGGAAAATTAATCAATGGATATTAATTAATGTTTTTCATTTTCGTACGTTTCTTGAAGTAATATGGTGGATTGATATCTATCATGATTGGAATAGTATTAAACAAAATCTTTCCGTATTATTTACAGCTAATATGTTAATCGGTCTTGTAGTTGTTAGTTTTTGGTTAACACCTTATTGGACATATAAGAAAACAGTACAATATTTTAATCCAACAGATTGGAATACAGGAGTTCGAAAAGAACAACCTGATGATGAAATTGACAAGACATCATAAAAAAACAAAATACAATTTGAAACAATGAACAAGATCATTTTATTTTAGAGTATTTTAGAGTTTTGAGTGTTTGTTTTCTAATCTATGTAGTTTATTTTTTATATTATTGATAATTGACCTTGGAAACAATGAAGAAAAATTTTATTTTTGCATTGATCAAAGAGTTATTTTCATATTCGTTTTTTCTTTACATTAATATCTGACATTTTTTTTATTTTTTTTTTTTGTGACAAAATATAATGCTATTACGACAATCAACATTTGTTAAAGAATGGTTAATGCTAATTAACAGTTTCTATTTTGAATAGGATACATTGTGATATCTAGAGGACGGAAAACAATGATATGCATAGATTGAAATCGTGCAATAACAAAAAAAAATTTTTTTTTTTCGTAGTCTGAATGAAAAAAAAGGAGTGTAAGAGATCTAAACAGATGAGTGATAAATAATATTACGTGACCGTGTTATTCCAATAATTTTTCTCTCTTTAGAAAACACAAAAAGTCGTATAATCATGTATCCTCATTAAATTACAATAGACATTATTTGACTATATGTGTTTTTTCCAGTTAAAAGTAGCAATGATACTTTGTCAATCGAAACGTTTGATTAGGATTCAATAAAAACAATTAATCTAACTTCATATGCAAATTCCATAGAAATTATACCAGCCGAACATTGAAAAGATTCAGAAAATAAACAGCATACAAATACGAAAGTCTGTAACGAACAATGTCTGTTAAATTAGGTCGCACGACTTTGAACTCATCCGTTTTGGTTTGGCCGAACAAAAGTAATCATCTAAATGATGACAAAATGACATTTCAATAAATATTAGTCTCGCTTATCAAATTCGTTTCAATGATGAAATAATTGTTGTTAATAGCAGGATACGGCGTGTATACTATTGCTCTTGTTTACAATATACTGCTTCGTCAGTTCCGCCAAATTTTTGATGTCTTTGTTATAGATTTCGTATTGTCATTAATTTGTGTTTTAGAACTTCCATCGATCTATGTATTACTTTTGACCTATTCCGAGTACTTCTGTTAATATTGGAAAAGATCATTTGAAATGTTTTTCAAAGTTATCTACCCCGAATTTCGAATGTTGAAATTTTAGGAAATACAACTAGATTTTGCTAGAATTAAGTGTACTTCGAATTTCTTTAAATTATTTGGCTCAAATAGATCTTTTCTAATATTATTCGGTTTGGAATGTTGATATCAGACTCCATGGAAATCTTACTGTATCCTTTGTGCAATCCAATATCTCCTGATTTTTTTCTATGCTTAGGATTCCTGAGCATCCAATCGTATCCGGTTGAGTCGTTTCTGATAAAATCTGGTTCAGAATCCGACTTAGCAAAAATTCTTAGGTTATTTTGAGTATTTTACAAATAATAAGAGATAAACGAATTACAATATACATAGAAAAAATAAATCAAGATTTATTCTATACTTAGTTATCAAAATAAGTTCACTTCATAAAAAATTCGTTGATTAATCATTTGAAATACAAGAGGAAGATAATGACTAGTTCAATGAAAAATTGACTGTAACTTGTAATGATCATGAAAATATACAAAGAAATATCTACAATATATTATGTTGATGATTGTTCATTTGAATCTTCAGTAGTTGAAACAATATCCTCAGAAGTACCAATACCAATACCAATACCATTTAATTTACAAAATTGTCGAAATTGTTCTTGTTCTAATTCACGCATAAGATGGTTTAATGCATAAATCTATTAAATAAAAAACAATAATAATAATGTTTTTAAAAAAAAAAACAAACTTGTTTTCGTTGAAATTCAGATACTCGTTTTTGTTCATTATTATTTGATGTTGTATATATTGTTGGTAAACGTGTTTGAGAAGTAATATTTATTGTTTGTCGTTCAAATTTTGATAATGATGATGTTGTAATAATATCTTTTTGTTGTGAACGATATTTTTTAAAACGCATTGATTCTATTCGAAAAATAACAAAATTTAATAAGAAAATAAAAACAACAAATTTTCATAAATGAATTACCAGATGGAGAAGGAAAAATACTTGATTTTGAAAAAAGTGATGGTAATTTTGGTGTTGAATTATTTCCTAACCTTGAATTTTCATTGCTATGAACATCATCAACAAGACTTTTTCCTGTTGTATGATTATGTGTCAGAATTCGATTTTTATGTGATTGTGAACGTTTCTTTATTGATGGTATTGGAGTTGATAGATCATCGTTAGCCATTAGATTGTTTGCACAATTTATTTTAACAATAAAAAGATATGTTCTGAAAAATACATATTATTTATCATTTTGTATTGTTATTATGATATAGAAGTTCGGAACATTTTTTGATACAATGAAAGACGACTAAAAGATTTCGACAACAGAACGAAATATATATTTAGGCTTACTTAGATCGTTTTTCTTTATCTTCGTAAGTTTACATACATTCCGTTTTGCAATCAAAAACTTATAGGCGCCTTTAATGAAGATTATCAAATGATTTCAAATACAAAATATGTAAAGAGTGCTTCAAGAATTTCTTTTACTTAACAATGGAGAAAACAATTTCATGAGGAAACATACTCAACTATCAAATCGGTGTTTTCTTGAACCGATTGGTTACGGCTTGTCGAGTTAGGAGGTGTTTTGCTCGATTTATGTGCTGACAGAATATAGTTATTGAGAACTTGGATGATTGTATTTCGAATTGAAACTTATTTCATATGTAGATCTTACAATCACTGAAAATCTTCAAGGATTGAACAAGAATAAATGGATCCTTATCAAAATATCAGCTATTCGTAAAAAATTCTTTCTTTTGAAACGCAGTACTAAACGAGCGTTTCTTTAAAGTATTAATATTTTAGTAAGAGCGTGCTCATTCTAGTAAAAACTTGGAAGAATTTCTAATAACTATAAGGTATATTCATGGATAAAATTTCAATTCGAAATTCAATCACTCAGGTAAATCAAATTAAAATAAAATTTTTACTTATCATCATGACTGATCAAATGGCAATAGTTACAAGCGACAAGCATTTAAATATTTAGAAATGTTCATTTGTCAATATCAAATATCGTTAGGTTAAAAAAAATACGAACTTTTCAACACTTCTACAAATCAGTGACAGTCAGGAACCTACACTCTCTTTAATGTGTTCTCCAAATGAGACTAATTAGTGTATAAGTTATCCTTACCCTTATTAATGTAAGTCACACACAGTACTCTATGAGGATAAAATCTTTTTCTAAAATTAAAAAAGTATCAGAGTACCTTTTTGAATTCTTTTCGTAGATCACAAATAGTCATAAGTGGCACAATATCTTGAATTTAATGTGGATTCAATAATTTTTATAAGATCTCTATTAGGAAGTAAAGAATAGGGAGAACGAGAGGGGAGAGAGTACCTTGGTATGCAATTCAATTGAAACACAGCACTTCTGATGTAAAACCCACATTTTGCTCTATATGAAGCTGTTACGAAACAGAAAAAAAAATGGCAAGTTGTCTAAAAAAACATGCACGTCAAAAAAGAAACACACCAATATTTCTTATTGTTTACCTTCGACTCTCGAAAGAAGTTTGCAATCGACTTCATTGACAAACAAAACAATGGTGAAGTGACAGTGTTCACAAAAAAAAATAAAAGTTTTATATTGTGAATTCGTTACCATTGTTGAATATGTTGATTATACATATAAACTTAGCGATTGAAGGCGAAGAAAATTTTCAGTGGTTTTTAAATTATTTAACTCGATTTTTGTTGTTGTTGTGCTCTTCTTCTTCACTTCTAACAAAGAAGCACAACTTCAAGTCATTGGCAAACTACGACAGCCCAATACTAATTTTAATGTGTCCCCAAGAGCGTTTTATGAGTTAGTTGTAATAGGAAAATTGTCATGATTTATCGCTGCAGACAGTGAATAATGTTGACATTTGCGCAAGAATTTTGATGTGCTGCATAAGTTTGTTAAGTGAATGCAATAAAAAACAAAAGTTTAAGTCTATCCTCGCCTACAATACCTGATTTTAGGGTAGACTTAAGCCTACATAAGCTTCGTTGTTTCGCTGCTAGTGTACATAATCCATTGACATTAATGTAAATATACTCTTCATATATAAAAGTATTGTTCTTTTGTTGAAGTCAGCTGAATAAAGCTGCCATTTACATGTTCTCTTATTCATAGTAACCATCGTTGCAATGAGAATAATATGAAAAATTTTTGTCAAAATTGATTAAAATTTATTTAAATATTATTTTTATTCATGAAAAAGAATATATGAACTATCAGTTTTCTTTTAAAATTAACTCATCCATTAATGCAGATAAACGTCATCAGTTGACACGACTATAATTTGATTGGTTAGACTTGAATCTTTAGGCTTTTTAATATCTATCTATCTGTTTCAAGCATACATATAAACATTAATCGAAATTTTTATCCGACTTAATTTATTTCGACAAAGTTTGATTATTAAATATATATTCAAATTATTAACATGGATCAAGTTCAACAATTTACTGAACCATGCAAACAATTTATAAAAGATTCCATTCGTTTAGTTAAAAAATGTACGAAACCTGATCGTAAAGGTAATTTATTTAGTTTTTATTAATTTTATAATTATTAATATTTATTAAAATAGAATTTCAAAAAATTGCTATGGCTACAGCAATTGGTTTTGCTATAATGGGTTTTATTGGTTTTTTTGTCAAACTTATTCATATACCTATCAATAACATTATTGTTGGTTCATAAAATAAAAAGAACAGAGATATGAATTTTTGTTTTTTTTTTTTTTCCTCTTATTGTTTATTGTCATATAAAATTTTTATTCGTTAAAGTCTATATACAATGAAAAGAAAAGAACTTAGGTGTCTTTAAGTATAAATAATTGTTATTTTATTTTTTATCATCCAGATATTGGATTATTTTGTTCTTGAGGCGTATTGAATGAAATATTTCCAAAATCAAAACGACGACCAAATATTAAAGCACCAGTATTATTAGGAGGTAAATTAATTGGGATTGAAGATCGTCGTTCTTGATTTATTTTTTCATCAACTGATTGACAAATTTTAAAACAATAACCAACGGATGACATCGAATTCTAGAAAAAAAGAAAAAGAACACAACTATCATCATATGTTTAACAGATGCTGACGCAAAAATACACGTAGGGAATATGTTAAATAAACATACAAGTGGTTTCTATGTACTGCAGTCGTTCTGATTTATATATACTCCGTTGCTTTTTCTTGTGCGCAATAAAGTAGAAAAAAAACAAGTTGCTTTTGGTAAATATGATTGTATAACACTATGAATTTTTATTCACATAGATGGCCCAATGTTGTCCTCTCAAAAAAGGAAATAATTCATAATGAATCATCGCAAGAAATTGAAGGCCTCTTTCGTAAATAATCATAAAACATTCTGATTATATGAATAATTGTTTGCAATTTTAAATTAAACTAAATCATCACTTCTAATGAAGTTACAATGGTAGAAAAAAATTTTCGTTTGAAAAAATGTTTGTAGTACATCTACAGAAAACTTGAACTCAAACAATTGAATCGTACTTGAACTGGATTTATAATAGTCTGAGGTAGAGATGTGTGAGAACAAGTTTTTCTTTGTCCTGGTTTTGGTTTTTAGGGTCGCAGTCTGAAGAAAATTATTGGTATCAAATCTAAAAAAATTCTTCAATACTTGTTTTTTTTATTTATTTAGTCGACGAGAAGCATTTGTTGTGTTCATTTCTCTTGAATGCTGCTGTCATTGATAGGATTCGCTTAAATTCATAGAATATTTCACTAGAGATATATGTTTTGATCAAGACAAATTTATTTGTTGTAGTTTCGTATATCTCTAGCTCGATTCAACTTTCTGTGTGGGATTTTTTTTGTCGATATACTACAGATAATCAATGTACTATTGGCAAAAAACTACGTGTCAAGAGACAGGTTTTTAATAGAATTACACTCGAGGTATGTTCAGATTTCCAAAAAAGGAAATTACCTATATTTCTGAAATTTCCATCAGCTAGATTACTATATAGCAGTGCAAATCAAAAGTTTTTAGACATATTGGAAATTTCAGCAATTTTAGAAATTTCTGTAAGTACGTCATTGCGGAAATTTCAGAAATTACATCATTTTAGGAAATAACGTGCAATTCCGAACACAATTACTTGAAAACTCCGAAATTTCCTTTTTCGAAAGTCTGAACACTGCTGTTACATTCAGCATAAACTCGTACAAATAAGTTTGTCCAGCACTATATGTTAAGTTAGTTTCGAATTTGAATACACTTACCATATTAGAAAGATTAATTCTACAATTCTTGAAAGAATTTCACTGTTTTTGTTTTTAAATATTTGATGATGCATTGGAAAAAAAGGAATGATACAGTGTCATAGACTTGTAAGTTGTAACTAAAAATCGATGACAATGTTATGTGAATGAACGATTGAAGATAAATTCACGGACATCTTAAATAGGATTTAGTCAATATGTTGCACTTGAATTCTTGCTTAAAAACAATACAAGCTGATTTAAAAGACTATGAATATGGTTTTTAGTTATTTTTATAGAGGATAAATTGATTCGCCATATGCTATTCTGATATAAGTACAAAAATTGAATTCAAATCGATAGTATCAATGATTATGAACTTAAGTATATTAATTAAAATGAATAATTTATCTTATAGAGAATGTTTTTATGATAGTGTGTCGTTTCTTTTTGTTTTACTCAGCCCTTAAATTCAATTTTTTTTGCGGTTTACAGTACCTACGAAAATTTTATTGAAGTGATATTGATTAGATTTATTGATATCAAACTATTGTATTTTTACTAATAAGAATAATTTTTCATCATATTAGTTTTTACGAAGTTAATTTATTCTAAAATTCAATTAAGAAATAATTCTATCAACATACATTTTAATTAACTATCGTTTCGAAAATTGTATTATCGCCACATGCTTTTTAATATTAAACTCAAGAGCTTTCTAGATGTCAGTAGAAAACAGAAACAATCGGTTCCTATTTAATTTATTATTAATCGAACCAATCATTATTGGACTTCATAAACTGACACAGTCACCAGCGTGCAAGTATCTCACGAAATATCTTCGTTTTCTTTTTTTCAAATGACAACCATGTTCAATTCGTTTACTAACAATGATAATTTTTCATCTTTATCATCAACATCTGATCATGTATTTTCATATTATCGTGAAAAAGACGATGCATTATATTCATCAAAATATCCACCACAATCAACAACAATACAAACAACGACAACAGACAAAAATCTAAACAATCATAATCATGATAAATTATCTTCACCTGTTATTATTGGTACACCATTTTCTGCTCTTATTAATTCACTTATTCCATCACCTGAATATTTATTAAATGATAATGATGATCAAATAATATATGATGAGTATGGTTTTCGTATTGATATTAATGAAAATGAACAACAATATGAAATAGAACCTATTATTGAAAATGAAACAAATAAATTAAAATGGTTAACACATCTTGATTCAAAATATAAAATTGATGTTGTTCATTTACCAATACAAGATCAAGAACTTGTACATAAAATTGATTCAAATCAATTTCGACAAGATTCAAAAATTCCTATATTATTAAAACAATCATTTGGCATTCCATTATCAATACGTGCTCAAATATGGATGTGTCTTAGTGGATCATTACATAAAAAATATCAAGCTAAAATGTCTTATACAGATATACTTAAACAATCTAATAATGATGCACAATTATATTCAAAACAAATTGAAAAAGATCTTTTAAGAACATTACCAACAAATGCATGTTTTATGTCAATAAATGCATCAGGAATATCAAGATTAAGACGAGTTTTAAGAGCTATTGCATGGCTTTTTCCAGGTTAAATTAAATCATTGTTTTCTTTTGTTTGTAATATCTATTTTTATGTTTTTATTTAGATATTGGATATTGTCAGGTATGTGTTAAATGAATTCATTTGAGAAATAGATTTAATTTTTTGTTATAATGAATAAATTAAAGAAGGATTTGTTTGAAAAAAAACTTTAGAACAATTGAAACTCATTATTAAAATATATGTTAAAATTTGCTTTTTCAATTCAAATTAAAATAAACAACAGCAAGTAATTGGAATATCAAGGAGTTTATTTATTCAACAATCTCATTAGTTGAAATAGAGAAGAATATATTATTAATTTCATAGAAATATGATTATTCATTATTAGAGTCTCGAAGGTTATTTTATCAGCATAGATAATTAAAAAAGGCTTCAGTTTGCAATGCATGATTGAATCGGGAATTTAAAATAGAAAGATTGTTTTGATAAGAATTTTTTGCTTGAAAATTTATGAAAGGTTATAAATAATGATAAATAATAGATCAAAAGTTTTAGATCCTCTGTAAAAAAACAATGTGCTTATTCTTTCTGATTATATATTTAGCCAACATTATAAGTTATTTATATAAGCTCATGTCAAAGTGCAAACGTAAGAAAGAGGAAGACATGAACAAAAAAAAAGCTAAATATTGGAAGAATTATAACAACATGAACATTGGTCATGGTTCATTTGTTGATATGTTTTTATTTCCTTTTACGTATAATAATGAATATTTATTGTTAAGATATAAGCTTTATATCGGTAATCAACGAGCCGTAGTTTGGTACTTAAACGATAAGCTACATTCCGATTGGCAATCTGCTGCCGATATACCGACGGGTATGCTCAAACAAACATGCAAACAGGATATCCATGCTTACTGATGTCCTCAACCTTACACGTCAATTCGTCCTGTCAGTTAGTCCATAGAATGTCATCAATCTACCACAGAATCTTATGAATATGATACTGACCTATATATTTACTTTTAAATTATGAATGTAAATATGAAAGCTGTTAGTGTAATACTTGCAAAGTTAAAATTTGAAATACAATGTAGCTATAGTTGCTAATCACACGGAAATTCCTTTATTCTATACATTTTGAGACACACTTTTCACGATCTTTTTTGTTTTATCCTCTAGATATACAACAAGTAATTAGCTGAGATATTATAAAGAGATGGTATTAATATATAAGCATTGATCGTATATCAACAAGGTCTGTAATGAAGAGGAAGGACATTGCTAAAGTGTCTGCATTCATGTGACCCTGTCACTACGAGAAACTCTCACAATGGATTTAAATAAGCTCAAAATCTTAAACATTTGAATTTAGAGGGACGAAACTTGTGTGAGAACGCTCAGCAATACGTGTTGAAATCGCAAAACCCTTATCTAACCTGTAAAATTTAACTGCGAAGGATTTTGAATCGATCTTAATCCGTCGTGATAGTTTCAGTTGTGTGCTAACGAAAATCCGAAAGTGGCTCTCATAGTCTATGAAGCGGGAGCAATGAAGTTCATATGTTATTTTTCCTTAAGAAAGATCAATCAAAATTTGATGAATAAGAGTATTTGAATTAATTGAACAGTTAAATACAAGAAAAGTTTCTTTTTTTTTAATGTTTAGCAAAATATCATTTTTACAATTTGTAGTTAACTATTTTGTTTATTTTATGCATGGATTTCTCTAAGTAATTGTTTTTTACCGATCAATAGTTTTTGTTTTCTTAATTCTTAGGGTATGGGTGTTATATGTGCATCAATATTATTACTATTCGAAGAAGAAGATGCTTTTTGGATGATGTGTTCAATAGTTGAAGATCTTCTACCAGGACAATATTATTCTGTATCATTATATGGTGTACAAGTTGATATACGTGTATTTCGTTATTTAATTGAACAACATTTACCAAATATTCATAATTTATTAAATGAATATGATATTGATTTAACATTAACATGTTTTCAATGGTTTTTAACACTTTATTCAAATGTATTTCATGTTAAATTTCTTTATCATTTATGGGATTATTTTTTTCTTTATGGTTCAATAATATTATTTCAAATAGGTTTAATTATATTTAAACAATATGAAAAAAAATTAATTGAATTAACAAATAGTACACAAATATTTAATTTTTTATGTGAATTACCACAATTATTTGAATATGAATATGATCATAATAATGAAATATTTGAAGAATTACCTAAATTATTTAATTTAAATTTAACAATAATTGATTCATATAGAAAAAAATATTTAGCACAATTAATGTCACAAGAAGGTTTTACAATAAATCCTAAAATGCCATTACTTAATTTACCAAAAGATATTTTACAACGACGTCATAATCAAAAATTAAAATTAACAACATCATCAAATAATTCTCAAGCACTTGTTGAACGTAATATAATACAAACAGAAATTCTTGTTAATTTACGTGAAGCTATACTTAAAATAGCTAAACATTTTAAAGATAATGATCCTGATGGTTATATTGAACAAAATATTAATCTTGATGTTGATTATTCAATTGAATCACATGTTAAAGATCATGAACATTATGCTAATATATCATTACAAAAATATAGACGTGCTAAAGCTTTATTAGATTTTGAAAGTCAAGATACAAATGAATTAAGTTTTAAACGTAATGATATTTTAAAAATTTTATCTATGACAGATGAAGATTGTTGGATCGGAGAATTAAATGGTAAACATGGATGGTTTCCAGCGAAATTTGTACAATTAGTTGATGAAAGATCAAAATTATATTCATTAGCTGGTGATGATAGTGTTAATGAATATATATCAGATCTTGTTAGAGGAAAATTAGCTACGTGTATTAAAGCTATATTTGAACATGGATTAAGAAAAACACCAACTGTACTTGGTAAGAAGATTAACAAGTGATGATATACTTGTTTAATTCTGAAAATATCTTATAGATATAAGATTTTTCGATCAATATGTTTGTAGATCTTTACGAAAGATAGGATGCATGAGTGGTTTTTGAGCAGAACGGGGCATGCTTGTCTTTCATTTGACTTTGATTTTATAGAAGAGTTATTTATTTGAATAAGTTGTTTTAGTATAGGCATATGGAAAAGTATTTGTTCTTTTAGTTGATTATTAATTAAAATAATATTTAGTGAATATCTTGCTAACCGTATGAGAAAAATAGATTCTACAGAACGCATAGTACTCTTTGATGAAAATTTCAGTAATTAAAAACCAGTTATTTTAGAGATTGTGAAGAAAGATTTGTAACATTTGGGATTGTTTTTGAACTTTTCATTCAGTTATAAGAGCAATTTTTTTTGTTTTCTGTTACGTTATTAATGGAAAATAAATCTTCTTTTTTGAAAATTCTAGGTATGCTCACAAAAAACTTTGGATAAAGATTTTATTGCTTTATGAATTGCCTATAGAATGTATTACATAGTTTTCAAGAATTGCTACATCAACTCGTATTTTTTTTTTAAGTAAAATACAAGAAGTGAAAGTCGATTTTCTTTTATATGTTACGTCAGCAATGTTAGTTCTTTCAGTGATATCCTCTCTGAAAAACGTCAATTATTCAGAGATACATGTGTTTTACTTTTGTGAGGTTACGTTGCTAATGAATGTTTTGGTCGATATGTGAGACAGAGAAGATGAGTTCCTCACAAAATGTCAGATCATACTTTTCAATTGGATGAAATTGTTTTGAGATGAATGTAATAGACACTCATTTTCGAAAAATTTGTAGTAAACAAAAATGTGATTAGACCTTTGTCCTCGCTCGCTACATATTTAAAATATACATATTTAATAATTTCATAGACACTACACAATTGTAATATTACCATCATATATTAAAAATAAGTCAATTCTACAATAACCAGTTCAAAAACGGGAAGTTTCGTGTAGAAATTTAGAAAAACCTACACATCTAGAATTTTTCAAAAGGATGTAGTCCTTTTATAAACATATTAATTCACTCTATGCTGGTATATGTCACTGTTAGCTATGTTGACCATATGGCAGAACCGATAAAGAGACTCACAGCAACTAGAGAACACGCAAATCGATGCTATTTTATCCTTATGGTTATTAACTTTCATTTCCTTTTTTACTCATTGTACGAATTAAAAAATTATATGTTCGTTCTCTTTCTAATAATTCTATCAATAAACTATGTGTAATCTGTAGGAAAACACAATTTTTAATTAGATGTCAAAATGGAGTTCTACGAGACAGTATCGAATTTTGCAAAGTCCTATTAGTCTTGTCCCGCAGAACAATGGGAAATATCTCGAATATTTTTTTAAGCCTGATATCAAAACATATCGTATACTCTATATTTTATTTTTAAAAAGTACCTTAAATAAATAGCAATAAAAAGAACAAAACTGCCACTCGAGTAAAACCTGAATAGAAATTATGACTGATTGTGCGAACCCGAAAACATATCAGACCGCAATCTTATGCGGGATGTGCTATTACTAAAACTTTCACATAGCTAATAATTTAAGAGAAAATAAATTGAAACCAACTATTACCACATAAGGAAACTATTGCATGCTGCATCTGAGATATCAGTAGTCTTTTTTTTTCGATTGGTCCATGTAGAAACATTTTCACCGTCTCGGCAAACTTTCTGTCACTACGAAATGATGATTAGGTGTGGAGAACGAGTGACTGATATGAGTCATGATTACTCCGTCGAAAGTTTAAAAACTAAAAAAACAACAACGAATTTGACTGTGATTTCGGTATTGACTACATAAGAATTAAAATGAAATCTTTTGAAACGAATTAGAATTTTTTTTTGTTTATAACTATTATTTTTACTTGCATTATGAGCTTAAAATCATCATCTATTCGTTTACGTATGCTTTGATGTCATAGGAAATCGAAATATTTATGACAAAGATTAAAACAAAAATCTTTTTCATTTGTGTTCATTCTTTATTCTGTAGTTTGCTGAGAAAATAATAACCTACAATCTATTACACAATATGAAAAAGGATATGCAATAAAACTCTTGGTTTTTTTATTTTTATTTCAGGTGGTATATGTCATCCATGGTTATTTGTTGAAGAAGCCGCATTACATGCAATAAATAAAGATTTTGATAGTGTTTATGCTCGTCTTATACTTTGTAAAACATATCGTTTAGATGAAGATGGTCGAATTCTAACACCTGAAGAACTTTTATGTCGTTGTATACGTTCAATTAATTATACACATAATCTTGCTCATGCACAAATGGATGTTAAATTACGATCATTTATATGTGTTGGTCTTAATGAACAAGTTCTTCATTTATGGTTAGAAACACTATGTTCATGTACAGATATTATTAAAAAATGGTATTTACCTTGGTCATTTTTACGATCACCTTGTTGGGTATGTGAATTTCTTTGTTTTCTTTTGTATTTATTGAATATTTTTAATTTTCTCCATAAATTTAGGTTCAAATAAAATGTGATCTTCGAGTTTTACAACAATTTTCATTTACATTACAACAAAATCTTGAATTACCAATAGCATATAGACAATTAGATGTTCTATCGGATGTACGAGATATGCTTATAAAACATCATTTATTCAGTTGGGATCTTTAAATTGGTTTTATCTTTTTTATTAGAATAGATTATTTAAGTAAAATGAAAAATTTTCCATATTATTTATTTTTTAATGTCAAATCAGAAAGGACAAGAAAGATTTCTCTTATTTTTTTTTGTTGTTGTTATTGTACATTCTTATTTTATTCGAAAGATGACATGTATATAGAAAAAAAAAACTAGTGACTATTGTTTTGTTTTTATGTTGTGAAAAATAATTAATGACAAAAGAATATTATATTTTTTTTTTCTTTTTATTGAATTTAAGTCATTTGAAAAAGAAGATCTATTTTATTTTAAATCTGTAGATAGAATGGCAACTGCCCTTGTTGACGAACATTTATGTGTTACACCCAATTGTGGAGGAAAAGCAAAACTTCGTTGTCCAAATTGTGTTAAATTAGGTAGGAAAAAACATTCAATTGATATTAGTTGATTTTATTTTTCATTCGATTATTTTTCTAGGTATTGTTGATGGTTCATTTTTTTGTTCACAAGATTGCTTTAAAAGTTATTGGCCAGAACATAAAAAAATACATGTACAAGCAAGTTAGTAGTAGTATCATCATTATTGATGATTTAAATTTAAAAAAAAAACTTATTTTATTATATAGAAACTTCTACTTCAACTAATGAATCAGTAGAAAATTATAATCCATGGCCAGGTTATCATTTTACTGGCAAATTAAGACCATATCCACACGTAAGAAATTTTATATGAAAAGAAGTATATTATGAAAGTTATTTTATTTTAGACTCCTCGTCGATTAGTTCCACCACATATTCAGCGACCTGATTATGCCGATGATCCAAAAGGTAGATCAAAATCAGAAGAAGGAGAAAAATCATCAAGTAGTACAATTCGTGTATTAACTGAAGATGAACAAGATTTATTACGTGATACTTGCAAAGTTGGTTTATTGAAAACATTACATGACAATAATAAATTTCTTTCAAATTTTTAGCTCGGCCGTATTGTCTTAGATGAAGCTGCACGATCACTTCGAATCGGTATGACAACAGAAGAAATAGATCGTATTGTTCATGAAGTAAAAATAACTCTTTCTATTATCATTACTATCACTAAAATACAAATAAACTACTCTCATTTAGTGTTGTGTCGATAATGAATGTTATCCATCACCACTTAATTATTATGAATTTCCTAAATCATGTTGCACGTTAGTTAAATTTTTTTTGTCTATAATCATCTATTTAGATGGTTTTTTTTTCAGGAGTGTTAATGAAGTTATTTGCCATGGAATACCTGATTTACGTCCATTACAAGATGGTGATATTCTTAATAGTAAGTATATAAAATATTGATATATAATAATTAATTTTTTTGATATAAATAGTTGATATTAGTGTATATAAACATGGTTTTCATAGTGATCTTAACGAAACATTTCTTATTGGTAATGTTGATCAAAAGTCACGTGATCTTGTTCGTACCGCTTATGGATGTTTAGAAAAAGCTATGGAAATGAGTAAATTATTGATTAGTTTTTGTTTTGAAAGTAAAAAAATGAACGAAGTTTTGCTTATAGTTCGTCCAGGTACAAAATATCGTGATATTGGAAATGAAATTCAAAAGCATGCTACAGCAAATGGTTGTTCAGTTGTACGTTCTTATTGTGGACATGGCATTCATAGGTATATTTATATAAATTAATTAACTATAAACTAATTTTATCATATTGATTTAGACTTTTTCATTGTGCTCCAAATATTCCTCATTATGCCAGTAAGATGTTCAAATACTTAATAAAACAGATCTATGTTTGTTTTCTATGTTAGAAAACAAAGCTATTGGTGTTATGAAACCAGGTCATTCATTCACTATTGAACCTATGATAAATGCTGGTAAGATAAATGAATAAATTTCATAAATTTTCATTTTATTTTTGCACTAGGAACATGGCGAGATGTTCTTTGGAATGATAATTGGACATCTGTGACTGAAGATGGACAACGTTCAGCTCAATTTGAACATACATTTCTTGTAACAGATACAGGCTGTGATATTTTAACAGCACGTTCATCTGGTCAACCATGGTTTTTAGATGGAAATTATATTAATTAGAAAAAAAAGAAGAAGAAGAACAAACCAAAACACTACCACAAAATAATTCTTTCTTTTTTTATTTTTACGAAATATGAGTATTGAACGAAGTTCAAGACTAGCATTTCATCATTATTGTAACATTTGATTTTCATATTGTTATATGACTAATCAATTATACATCAAGACTGAATGAAGTTTTGATAGAAACAATAACAATTGATTCTTTTTTAAATAGGAAAATAAAAGATATACCAAAAGTTCTAAAAAAATTTTAAAATTTATCCTTCATACATGCTACAAAAGCACACTCTTTGTAAATTTGGCAGACTATAGTGTCTACTACACCCCAGGTCAAGTTACCAGCTGGATCATAGTTTTTTACGAAAATATTCGCCTATAAATTTGCACCAAAACAAAATTGACCATACTGAATATATTGTTGAATAGATTTCGGTTGAAAAATTTTGATGCATTCAGTTGTTTCAAATAACGAAATTTTTGAGACATTTACATTTATCATGATGCAATAACTAATCCATAGCGTCTTATAACGATCTTACTAATGTATTAACGAATTGATCAAGACACTGATTTTCTTCCTTTGCATGGCAATCAAACATTAGACCAGCAATAAAGGCTTTATGCTCCGTAACTCATCTTGTATGTCAGCGTTGTAGAATGAAGATCGATGATGTCTCACGAGGAGTCGTCATCCATTTTCGTTTCTGAGCGCATAGTGAAGTCTATCGAGAATTTGCCGGGTAGAAAAAATTTGAACCAAATAAAGAATTGTTGGAATATTTCTTTTTAAGATACTTAGTTATTAAATAGACGACTTTGACTAAAATAGATTGATTCCAATACGATTAGTACGATTTTAGAACTCAATTTACAATCGAAATTCGTCGTACCTTGAAATTTTACGTTTTCTGTTGTAGAAGTTACTATGACTTTTAAAAAACTTCATTCATACATGTAATTAAAAAAGGCTACTGATCTTCACAATAAAGTTCCTGTATTAATTCGACATTTATAATTATTATTGAGATTAAAATTTTAGATTTTTCACTATGCACGTCATCAAAATTATGCAAAAATCGACCATTTTATCAAATTTTTTGGCTGAGTTTCACAGAAGACTCTGATTATTCAAATTATATTTTCGATGATTTGACTTTATCGTAGTATTTAGATCTATCACTGTCAGCTACCATCATGATCCAGATGGAGATAGTCGCTGGGCTGATGCAGGTTTGGACACTAATGTAGATTGAGGCATACAATGTGGTGAGATTGTGGCATTCCAATTAGAATGGTTTCCAGTCGGTAGTGGTAGATGGTTAGATTGGTATGTTGTTGGTGTCAATGATATTGATCAAAAAGCGGATGGACCATAACTCACTCTTAAACGTATGTTGAGCTATTTTGCTGATCATCGTCATACGTACATTGCTTGTAGACGAAACAAATTAATAGGTTGTGCATGCAAAGCTTCAAGTGATCAAGTTTCACTAGATGTTAAGAGTGTATAGTAATAATTATCTCTACCAATTCTCACTGACTGGATTTAAACTTAGATAGTTTTTGCAAAGTTTTACTAATACATATTTATTGCTAATAACTATATAATCACGCTTTTTTTATATTTATCACATCAAAATAAACGACACATTTTTTTGATGTTATTCTCATATTTATCTCTCTTTGTTATACCTTGCCTTCTTACTCAATCTATTCTTAAATTTTAAGCAAAATCCCATGACGGCGATCATGATAGTAATGAACAGTCGTAAACCAGGTCATCAATGATCGTATAAATTCTAGAATATGCTCATTCACGATCTTATTTCGTCGTATTACTTAATTCTCAAATTACGATTGCACATCGTCGTACCATATACAATTTTATTCTATTAGTGAAAAAGTTATAATACATGTTATTGCGCAGGTATAACAGGACAGATAAATGTATTTTGAAGCACTGTAGCTCGCCATAATCATGTCAATAGATACTGATTTATTCAACACACTCGATGTGATGTACAGTTGTAGCATGTGTGCTTCAACCTTTTTTTATCGACATAGATACTTTTCTATGTTGGTGATCTTTTCTGTTGTAGCATTCGCCATTTCAACGATGATTAACGATTCATAAATCGACAGCAATAAAGCTTCTAACACAAAATATGTGGAATGAAAATGTGAAATGCAATGAATTCATTCTAGTCATAAGCAGTTCTTTTTCATATCGATTGTATTAATTATGCTTCAAAGCAAGCACGCAAGCTTTACTTCAGAAGAAATAAAACCCAATGAACTAAACGTTTACATTTATAGTTAGATAACAGAAAGAAAAGAAGAACAAGGGATGGAGATGAGAAAGAATTAGAAAACGATATTGGAATATTGAACATTTATACGTACAACACTACCGTAAGACACCTCCTAATTTACAAAAAATAGGTCACATCAATATTTTTCGAAAGACGAGAGAATTAGGTGATAACCGAAAAAAGAAAGAAGGTAAAAAGAAAACTCGAGTGAAGAAAAAACAAAATAGTAATAGTTACTAATAATAAAAAAGAGATTGACCTGTAAGATTGACAAGACTAACAACAAGGGCAAACGAGAAACAATAACGACGTCATGAGCTGTTTGTAGAGAGAACAAGAAACAAATACATGCATGAATACTTCAAAGACAAAAATAACACAAAAAAATAAATGATAATGATATAAAGATAGTTGACATAAAAAATAAAATGGCAATGAGATATTCCGTTTGTTTTTGGGTTTCTTCAAGTATGCATAGAAAAATATATTAATATATAAAGCATGAGTTAACTCTTTGATTGACATCATCGATAACGAGTTTTATTTGATCTTCGTTCGACATTAGTTAATTCAGTATAATATGGTATATCAAATAGATAGCGTGTACGATGGTTATATACAGGAAGTTGTGATGAATTTCGAATGCTAATATATGAGGACGTTTTGTTTGTAATAGATGAAATTGAAAGAGTTACAGCATGAAATGGGGTATTAAGTTGTCGAATAGTAAATCGATGATCAATATCACGATGCATAATGTTGTATTTGTAATAACGTTATTGTAGTCGAAGTGGAAATGTACTATTATGAATTTTCTTCTTTTGTTCCGTAGTCAAGTCGTCACGGATAGAATTTACTTTCTTTGATGAGCGAAAATTAGATGTTGATTCTCAATTGTTTGTCTTCAGTCGTGTATATATATATGATTGGATTGATTGTTTTTATAAATGGATAGATAAAGAATTTCAGTTATATATCAAATATCATCAATTGTTTAATAATCAGTAGAATGAGTGGATAGTTAAATTAAGGAAAACATATCATACGGTATCATCATTAACATTCTATTTGGTTTAATAGATTATTGTTTTTTTTCATTGTTATTATTATAGTTCTCGAGATTAACAAATGAATTAAAAGATCTCAATTTTTTTATTGATATATTTGCGTGGTATTTTTTATTAAATAATAACTCTTTGCATACATAAGTATTAAAGCATGGACGATATTCTTTTTCTTTTGAGTTCATGCGATATAATTCAGGATCTAACCCGACGCCGAAATACAAATTAGTGGCTCGTTTATCAAGTGGTTCATTGAATTCACAAACAGCTGCACCTTAGAGAGATCATAATTCTGTTTATACTTTACCGATACATAATTCACATAAGCATTCGATAAATGAATTATATGACGATGTTTGTCTTGATGATTATATACCGGTATATTGTTCTCGCCACAATCTTTTAAATTTTTCTTCCAAAATAATAAAATTAAAACATCAAATTCGCTAATACGAAAATCAACTATCAATAACAAAAATTCTTCTTTTTCACCCGCATGTGTAAATTTCTTTATTTCGAGTAAATACAGCTTAAAATAAATGTTGAATTCATTTGAAACAATTTCATGGTTCGATGAGAGGGAACAGATCTCGGTGAAAAGAACAACTGAATCATTATGTGGGAAAGTAATTTATACGTGACAGATTCTGCATCCAATGTCAAAATAATAATTTGTTTTAATGTGACGGTGAAGAAGTGTAGATTCGATATTAGGCTCATGTTCTAGAAGTTTTTTTCCGAAGTAATTTACGATAATTTTATCATTTATTTCCTTGTTACAGCAGATAATAGATTATCAAATTTTGATACAGTATCTTGATATTCCTGTTCTGATAGCATGACTATAATAAGAAAAAAGTGTATTATAATTGACAACAATTCAGCTAGTCATAAATCTCGGGATTATTGATTATCGATTCTCAGCGAAAATAGAAATCTACTGTTGACTAAATGGACTCGAAAAGTTTTTAATTATATCCGATCAGGTATCGTTCTGTTTTATACAATGATAATATTGTTTTGATTATTTAGCCAAAGCTTTTAACAAAGTGATCGCTGGATGAATTAACGTAGAATAGGATAGTTTGGATTCGAGCGATAACTGACGAGACTTTTCAAAAGTATCAAATAAATCTTGTTCAGTCTTAGCATATTTACACAATTTATTTAATATATTTATGTATGATTGACGTCGAGAAAGCTCTTTTCTAAAATCACATTTAACTTCACTCATTAAATGTTGAATAATAATTGAGTCATACATGCTTGAATCAATTTCTCGACAGAAGATAATAACATCACAAAAATAAGATGTAACTGGTTCATTATGTAATTGTGTCCGTTGCGTTGACCTATTAAATTTTTATGAATCATTGTTGTTAAAAAGCAACAGTTTTGAAACGCGATTCCGACATCGTCGGAAAGATATCAGAAAAACTTCGGTAAATCATTTAATGGAACTTTGCAAGCCACTTTATTTGTATTTAAATGTAATGTTGAATTTATCATAAAGTTTGATAATAATAATGAACGGTAAAAATAATAACTGATAATAGTATGTGATAATAGCCTTTTACGATGCTTCCTCATTTCAAATCTTGTTCCCGTAATCGATATGAATGTAATTACAATCAGAATAAACAATATCGAGATAAATGAAAAAAATGAATAAATAAAAATCATGGAAATTCTACATCCTTATTTTGTTTTGCTGTTTCATTCTCTTTCTGTCAAAGAAATTTCTGGAAAAATCCAGCATGAATTTTGTCTTCGAAAGTCAAAAATGATACGGTTTACTCAATAGCATTTCTTATATTTGTGAATCGATCATATTGGCAAAAAAGTGAATTGTCTTACCTATGAGCGAAATATAATTGTTCTGTATAGCAGATAAATGATACAATGTTGAGAGAATCTTTCGACTCTATTTTTAAAGATTCTGTGCCAAAATAAGTTTCTAGTGTCTTTATAAAGCGGCTTTGACACAGATCTTTGCTTGAGTGTCAGTTTAATACAGATTCTGATCAATATGAATGGTACAATATTTAAGATGTATATTAATAAATTTTTTGTTTGTTAGTATTGATGGTGTTTTTATTTTGCCAGTGGTCGCCAATCCTTATCGTTTTCCTCCTGTTCCTTCTTTCTGTATATACATTTATACATATGTGTGCTGTACAGCACACGATCTTTATTTCTGAAACAATAAAAACAAAAGGAACTAAACGTTGACATATATAGTTAGATAACAGAAAGACAAGAAGATTAAAATTTAGAGATGAGAAAGAATAAGAAAACGATATCGAAATAATAAATATGTACAAGTGCGACATCACTGTAACAATCCTAAAAACTATAGGAGTGCTTGGTATGGGTGTGAGTGTGAGTATAGTATATCAATGAGTGCGTGTAGATTTTCCTCAGATGAAAACCTGCACACATCCATACCCATCCACAACCAAACCCTATATATGAGTCCATAGCATAACTCGTGTTCTACGTAAGGAGTACTTTTCATCGTAGCATTCCGTTGAGTAGAATTAGAAAAATAAAAGAATGTTCTTTTTGGGCCGATACCAAAATTTCCAACAGAAAAAAAACGAAATTCGACAATTTTATTCTATAGTATTTAGCTAATTTTTCTTGTCTAATATATCATTAGCAAGAGCAGTACATACTGCATCAGATATTTTATTTTAATAGACTTTGCATATTGAACAATTGTTCTAGTTATCACCTACGCGTGCACCAATCACCGATAGACGTTATCGTATTGTCTTGTCCACACATTGGAGAAGGTTGAACTTGTCTTAAGAGCGTGGATTCCTTGCGAACCTTCTGTCATAGGAAACTCTGATATTCGAAATCAAAACGAATCATTTTACTTCTGCAAAATATCTTTGTCACATTATGAATAATAGAAGTAAAAAAAGCTTACCGTAGTTTCTAGTAACAGTCTAACTACAGATCTCACTAAATATATAGCAAATTTTTGTGTGTTATGTCTTTGCAGATAGAGAATGAAATTTAGAAAAAGCTTGTTTTCTTACTCCTGCTGTTAAAAGTTTCTGATAGAAAAAGATTTCCTGCAAGATCCATGCCGTCAAAACAATTTTTATCTTCTTCGATGCTTGAATTGAACAGTAAAAAATTGTCTATCTGCGTATTTTCTGATTATCCGTTCTCGAGATCATTGCAACAGAATGTGATAACTTTAGATGTATATGTCTAGTGAATGAAAACAAAAAGAAAACTTACTAAGGAATACATGGATGCGGTACAAAGCGATCTCAAATTTCGACGATGGAATTTCAATTAGCATAAGAAGAACGAAGGATTTCATCCACAGTTGATCCACTCCTGTCGAAGGTTTTCATTGTTTTTCTCGCTCACGACAACTGACTGAAAGCTACCTCACGGCTTTTACTTATCTTGGGTAAAAGATAGAGATCACATCGCCATTTCGCGAAATCTAGTAAGAATGAGCGAAAACTCCTATTGAAGATTCAAAAACCTTTGTGTCATCATCTAGAGACATCAATCTCTCTGGCAAAGTTTGAACGAGTTTCAAGCAACTAGTCGTTCTCTAGATCATCGTAACATAAAGTACGAAATTTTTATTGCAGCAACAAACATGGAACAATAGAGGTCGAATCTGTACGCAATCGACTACAGAAACGCTTTGCTTCGCATCTCATGGAATTTTGTAAAAATAAAGAAAAAAATAAACATGAAAAATATTCTTATCGAAATAAAAAAATAGATGAACCATTGAGAAAAAAACCGCATTTGATTACAAAACGTTCCTTAGTCTGATCTATTTATTAAACTTGATCAGAATCCATCTTCTCTATAGTTCTATTTAGAGAAAATTTCAGATCGTTAAGTATTTTCTTTCTTGAGTTATTTATACAAATGGATATATGTATATGATTAACTACTTCTATGATTGATTATTTTTCTTGTTATTATTATCACATAAATTATAAATACCTCAATAAACATGTTCTACATCGATTAATATTTCTTAGACCAATAAAATTCTCCTGAAAAATTGAGTTACTAATTATTCATTATTAACCAATTTTTATAACTCCATTCACTAACTGTATATTTTGAATATTTCTGTGAGCCAAAAACTCGAAAGTTGCCTTTCTTCTATCTACCACCGGGATTTGGCAAAGAAAAAAGGCAACATATACACACGCGCACACGCCATAAGAGAAACAACCAAGAAAAAAGACTAGTGAAGAAGATCGTGAATAGAAAAGACACAAGAAAAAAGAATTGAGCATGTTCACAAAAACAAAAAATAATAATAATAAAGCGAAAAGTGCACACACACCTTTATATACAACAGTTCTAAAACGCACTGTAAAAAAAAACCACTCGTGCTAAGAAAGGTGTGCAATTATTTTTCATATCAGACAAAAAAATTATAAACGATGTTCTTTCATCGTTAAAGGATTTGTATTAACGGCCATCATATAACTATAGCGATTAGCATTAACTAATGCTATATTTGCTGATTGAGAGCTTTTTTTGTAACTAACTGATGATGATTGTTGAGGATTATTTACACCTGATAATGATTCAATAGGTCCAATAAAACTATGATGTTGTTGATTTTCATTAATATTCAAATTAAGAGATGAATGATCTAATTGTAATTGTTCAAAATGTCTTCGTAATCGATCAGCATAGGTTTCATATCGTTGTAACTAAAAGAAGAAAAAATATTTTATTTTAGAACTAAAAAAGAAATAAAGGAAATTTCTTTTGTACTTCATATTGAAGATATTCAACTTTATCTTTATTTTCAATCTTATCACATGCTTTTATTTGTTTAGTATCACCATTAATTGTATTATTTGCATAAGATTGAATTCTTAAATCATTTAATTGTTTTGTTATATCATTTATTTGATGAATAATAAATTCATATTGTTCAAACTAAATTCAAAAAGAAAAATTTTTTTTTTTCAAAAGAATTAAGATACAAAAAAAATAAAATTTCACTTACAACTAGAACCCGACAGGCTCTAGTCGTGTGAGAAATGTGTAGGATAGGCTCGTTACCAAATACAAAAAACCGAAAACAATTATCTGGCATCTTTCGAGTGACTATATATGCAATTTTGATTAGAGAGTTTCATTCTGACTGTCCATGTATGGTTTAACTCAGTTCGGATCCAATAAGTTTGGATCAGTCGGATTCTACTTACAACTGAATAACGTGTTTGTACACTTGGTAAAAGTGGTCGTTGAAAATGTAATGATACAGAATCAATAGCTGCAGGTAATGGTGGAGAAGAAAATGATGCTGCTACTAAATTAATTGCATCAATCCATTTAATCATCAAATCATGATCAGTTGTTTGAAATAAATATTCTGCCCAATCAGATGTTTTTAAACGAAAAACATGTTGTCTTTTACGATAATCAAGAGCCTCTTGAGCAAATGCATGATGTAAACGTATAGCATTTGTATCACTAATTAATATTGTAGTTGGTTGTTGATCATTTTTATGTAAATACAGAACCATATCACGTAAATTAGCATAATAGGCTTTCCAACCGCGACGTAAAAATGGAGCTAAAGAAAAAAAAACTTAATTATCATAAAGAATTATTTCAACGATTATGATTTACTTCGTTTTCCATCAGACTCCACACAACATTTACGCATAAGATAACCCTTCATAGAGAAATCATATATTTTTTACATACAAAAAGCAAAATTTCTTTAAAAATTATTCTTACTTGCATGTGTTCAATACTTTTATTGGTATCAGAAATCTAATAAATGAGAATAAATATTTATGATTCACTAAAGCAATAAACTTACTTCTAAAAATGGATTTACAATGTTGCTATAACCTTGTAATGTTCCATGGTCATCTAATCGTACATCATTATAATCGTCTGAGTCAAGAGTTCTATGAAAAATGATAGATATGTATTTTTTTTTCGTTGTACTTATTAGCTATGATAAAATAACAGCACGTCGGACTTTTCTTCTCAATAAAATATGTAAATGGAATTTGTTTTTTTCTTTTGGTTTATCTATCTCAATAATATTTATTACTTGGTTATCCAAATTTAATGTATCTGGTCATATGAAGTACTTTTCTCCGCAAGAAAATGTCAAATAATCATCTTGTCCTTTTCTTTTGCTAAATGTCATTTATACCTGACTGCGTTGTCACACTCGCTTACTTCTCTGTGGTTTATTTTGTTCTTATCCAGTTTACATCGTCAAACACGCGTTATAGATAGATTCATATATACATATACATATGCATCTTGAGCATGTGTCATTTGTGTCTGTCCATATGCAATTACTAATCGATGTCTGTATTCTTTCTACTATGTATCAATGAGTGTATGATGTGTAGACAGGCTGATCGACAAAGAAGATAAAAAAGAAGATCTCCGTCTTTCAATATAAACAATTGTCAAAACGAATAGAAGCGCATCAACTCGATATAAATTTTTTTTCCTTTTGCTAGTCACTCATAGAAGTGAAACGTTTTCTTTTTCTCTCATATACGCTCGCTTCGTCAATTTTTTTTTTGTATTATGTTGCATGCTAATGATGAGTATGTGTACAGGAGGGGTAGCTCAATAATAGAATTACAAGCAAGGAGAAAAAAAAACGGCAATGAGTAGTTTGTTCAATGAAGATGACAAAATATATTTTACGCGTGAACGAAGATGGACCTCGCAATGAGCGTGACACACGCGAACACATGCACTTCCTATTCTATGATAAAAATCAGTTTCCGATCTATGTTGAATAATTATTATATTGAAATGTTTTTTTTTCTGAAGGTCATACATACTGTCTTCCTTTTTTTCTCACAATAGAAAAACGACTAATTGACATATATGTAATAGTATTCATATGACGGAGCATTTGAATCGATTTCTACAATCAATATTTGTCATTTTTCTTTTCTTTTTCTCGATCGTATTTTTTTTTATCCATCATCATATCAATTAACCAAATATTGAAGAATGTCGACACTAGCAATTAGTTGTTTCCATACGGCTATGATTATAAGGACATCTCAGTACTGCATTGATATGAGGACACAACGGGCAATGATGTTGTTTTTAAAGTACTATTCAATCAAATGATTGAATAAGAAAAAAAAAGTGCTCGAAGCTATATTGCATACAATTATCTTAACATAATAATTGAATAAATATAATTAGAATATTTATACTTACGTTTCATTCATAAGTTGTTCATTTTTAATTGCATTATATAATGATTTAAGTAAATCTTTCGAAAAATCTTTTCCATCATTTAATTCATGTAAATTATCACTAAACTGTTGAAATGTCATTTTATTTGTAATTTTCTATGAGAAGAAAAAAAAAAGAGAAACAAATAATAACATAGACTAATTCTAAATGATGCATATCAATGAACATATATTCATATAAACACATATGGATCATTAATTCAAAACAAAAATGATAGATGATTCTTTGTTACTGTTTAACAATGATAACTATCAAAGTTAAAAGTATAGAATAGCAAGTAATCAAAAAAAATCAATATGTTTATACAAGATTCTGATTGAGATGACCTTGAATATTTAACACGAAAAATTTTTTTTTTATTGATATGCTACTTACTCGATCATGAAGATCTGTATTAAGCAACATTATTGCACAAGTAAGCATATGACAAGCGTCTAAATAAATGAATATGATTTATTAGATATGTATATATATATAGTTAATAAATTCTACTAACCGACTGAACTAAATGTTGTTGGATTACAATCAAGATATCGTGCAGCAAAAAAATGTAAAACACGTTCACGATCTTGTGCTTCACCAATAATAGTAAATTGTTTAACAAATTTTCTTAATGCACGATCAAGTGTATCACCTTGAAAATTAAATAATTTTACATATTCTTCAGCTACTAATTGATTAAAATCATTCCTAAAATAATAATCATGATATTAATAATTTGTCAAAGGTTTTCTTTTAAATATATGTATATATATATGACAAATAGTTTCCTCTATCCATGAAATATATCATGTTTGTTTTTCAGCTCACCAAACAGGTTTAATCATCAGCATCAATAATAATTAAATATAAGATATGATGAACTATGGTTTTGTTTTAATATAATCTTTAACTAAAATATTTATGTGTAAAAGAGACAATTTTCTGATTTTGTCTTTTCTACTGCATGAATGATTATTTGACAAACGGAAATTTTTTATTTTTCATAGAAATTACTATTAATTCAACAAGCAATGTTAAACTTTTCATTTTCGGTAGAGAAGTTCATGACATTTGAATTTATTTTCAGAAATGAATTCCTATGTATTTGACGGAAATTCTAAAAATATTCATTTCTAATCATTCTTTTTTTTTTTATTGCTGTTCGATGTCTGACAGTTACATTGATAAACGACAATAACAATCTTTCTCTTTTTTTTTCCATATTTTCTCCCCAACAACAACAAAAACAAAAATAACGCTCATCGTGATAAAAAGCAATCATTGTCTCTAATCTGGATTTCCTGTCACTTTCGGTGTTAAAAATGAATCCATTTGTTAGTAAACCAAATAAACTAGACGAAATATTGTAAATAGTTCTTTTTTTCTGCAATTTTCTCAAATTCAAACATATACATTATTGATTGATTAAAATAAAAAAAAACAAACACTTAAAAATAAACTATTGACAAATATTTGAAAAAAAAAACCGAAATAATTATTTTAATTAAGAAATAGTACATGTGTAATATTTCACCATTCCATATTTGCAAAGTTCTATTTAGGATTATCATACTCGATCTAATAACTATATGAAAGCGACAAAAAAAAAAAAACAAAAGTAAAACTCACATACGTTCGTTCATTGGTACAGATGCAACAATCGAACAAACTCATATTCCCACGATGTATACATGTTGGTGTGTATTCTTTTGATTCAACTGCTCGTACGAACAGTAATGTTGATGAATACAACTAGATTTGCCTACGGAAAGGAGATGATGAACGCTTTTTTGGGCCAATAACACGTTCTCGATGTTTCAATGCTTTCTGCTAATCGACACATACAACGCGTGGGATGGTAAGCGGTTGTAAAACAGAACGGAGCGAAAATCGACTCTGCAACTACTACTTCACTCACTAATGTTCAATTTAGAAGCAATGCAAAAAGAAAATTCCATTGCTTGTTTGCTTGCTTACTCACTCCGCTTCCCGTAGAACTATTGTCTTGCATATATAGTGATGATGCGCTCGCTTGCCACAAGAAAAAAGAAAATAAGAAATCGAGGAGAAAACAGTCTAGCCGGAAGATTCAAGAACAGAAGAAGAAAAAAAATCAGTAGTTACTTGATCGAAGCAGATTTTAGAAAAACTAAGAAGAAAGACAAAAATAAGAACAAAAAAACAGAAGACATATGCCGGAAAAAAGATGATGCAATAAAAATTCCATTGAGTTTCTCTTTCTTATTTATATACATGCAAGCATGTTGTTTTAAATCAATTAAGATATGAACAAGTTGATAAAAATATTATGATCTAATCAATTAAAAATCTAAATAAAAACTTCCTTTTGTTTTCATCTCATGTCTATATATTCCCTTGCTAAAACATATACAATAGATTTAACTTTATGATCTGATTGTCTCTTTGTTCAAAGTTTTTACAATGTAGTTCATAGACACGATTATTATAAATACAATGAGGCACAATAATTGTAACATCGAATATTTTGTAAATATCCGTACAAAGACTAATTATAAAGCCTCGGACGTTTTTCTCAACAAATATGACATCGAATTCTCTACAATTTTTAAAGTAGAAATTTCTTTGAACTTGTGATAAAGAATTTAGAAAGAGCTACGATGGAAGATCTATAAGGTGCTCGAATTACTCACCCATCAGAATTCATTTTTTTTGTGCATCCAAACGATGATCGCATTTTGCATAGTTTTTATTCTTTTTGATGATTTTCAGACATGAAGAGGATCCTATTGTCTGTATTATACTATTCAGCAATGATTTTTTTGTGCAATGGAATTGATTGAAACTATGAACTAGAGATTTTTTTTTTAGTGTCTATATTATTATTAGAGTAAGAAAGAAGAACATCGTACACAACTTTCATTTTAGTTCTCTCTAAATCCATTATCACAAGCTGAGAGAATCTTTTATGATTAATCTGTGCAGAGATATATTAGCACGAACACTTTTTTTTACTTCCGATATAGTGAGACATAGCAAAAATTTCATATCTATTTTATATTAATTTTCTAAAAATTCATGAGGACAAGTCAGTAAACTTTAAGATTTGAAGATTTATCTTTCCTGAGTTATTTGCAAAAACTATGTAGGAATAGTTTTATTTAATAGAGCAAAATGAGATGCATCGACTCTCTCCATGATGTTCTTTCATCCAACTATCTGACTTTATAGAAGACCGAAGGAAAGTATTTTTCTTTCGTATTTAGGAAAAATTTCAATAATTTCGCCATATTTGACTTATCAAATAAAACTATTTTCAAAAAAGTATCAAAAGGATGCTAGAAAACTAGCTTTAGGCGAGTATTGATTTTCTAGACATCTTCATTCAAACAGCTTTATTGGAATTTTTAAATCTATCAATTCTGATAAAGAATCCTATCAATTATTCAAATATTTTTTTTCAGATTCTTCCTAGCTATTTTACCAACCCAATATCTTACCAGAGATTCAACGTATTTAGAAGTATTTTTTAGTAAAGTATAGCTTATTTGGTCCAGAATTGATCGTGTACTATACAGAAAAAATATACGCTAATTGCACAATAAAAAAATCGAGTATTTTGTAATTTCGAAAAGAAAATATGTTTCAATTGTGAAAGAAAGAAAACCTTCGTCGAAATAACGTAATAAATGCTTATTCTCCTGTCCGAAATTACAAAATGCACAATTTTTACATTGTGAAATTTGCATATAATTTGGTATGTAAAATTAAAGGACGTTGTATCTTAGTATTTTTAGTCCTTGTACAGCAAGGTCACGGTGAAAAGAGCTAAAAATCGGAGCGCATAAGCTATGTTCTGCCAAAAATCACACTTCAATACGTCGAATTCGTTTCAGATATCAGAAAAATAGAATCAATATTGTGCATTACTATAAAATGCTTGAAATATCTCCGTTTTAGTTCTTTCGAATGGTGAGATTTTTTGCTTAGCGTAGAAATTTATTTAACTACTGTCAAATAAAACGAAATACATATGAAACGTATCGCATAATAATTTTCAGTTGTCATCTAACAGGCTAATAAGAAGAAATTAGTAGTCAGTTTAAATACTGGAATTCGTGTTCTATGAAGTAAAACTGTTCATTCCAACAATGTGGACACAAAGCTCACTAGTGTTCTCTATTACAAAATTCGAAATTTTGTGCCAGTTAACTTTTAATTAACTAGTTATAAAAAAATTTTCTCTAGAGTTCCGGAGATCTTTTATCTATTTATAGCGAACCCTATACTTTGATATGATATCTTCTTTCTTGGGAAGTGTACATTAACTAGAAATTACCTGTTAGTAGTGATCATTATCATGTACATGATGAAGTGCGTATGAAGTTCGTTAGTATGTAGTAGAAGTATAAGTAGTAAATGAATTCGATTTGGCTCGTCCTATATCAGACTTCAGATAACTTACATTACAAGGCTTGCATAATGACTGTGATAAACACACATGTGTTGCACCAGACGTCATATTCAAGGCTATTAGACTGTATATGCGATTATGAACAGATCTATGACAGAAGACACACGAAATAGATAAGTTAAAGGTCAAATCTTCCACTTATGGGAATAAACTTAATATTTTTATTGACGATGTAAAGAATCAGTAGAAAAAATAAAAGAAAATATCATAGATAAATGTAAGAAATTGCATAATAAAATCTACTCTATGTATATATATATATAACTATCTTTAATTAGTTACTTTAACGTGTGTATTATATCATATGTTTTCATATATCATGAATTACATTCTAATAATGCCCATGTTACCTTTTCTTTTTCTGTTTCATTGTCGACATGCGTTTGTTGGATGTTATATTGATGGATGTTATCACATACTTTGCCTCATGTTGGATGTTCTCATAGAGTAATAGATTATAATTCTTTATCATAGTAGTATCAATAAAAACGTGATGTAGATAAATATGAAACTTAGATTTTAATTCAATACACTATAGTAAAAATAAAATAGAACAAGAGTTCAACGTGCATATTATATTTCATGTGTGTTGGCTAAGATAAAAAAGGTTATAAATGTTGTAGAAATCGGAGAATGTTTTACATGCATCTATCAAAGATGCGATATATATATATATTAGACGGAATAGATGATTTCCTTAATCTATGCGGGAATGACTTGGATGACATTTTTTTTTTGTTCTGAAAAGAAGAAAAAAAAAGAATCTTCATCTATATACCTTTTACATAAATGTCTGACAACATCAATTGACTTGAAACCATCTAATGCATAAAGTCGTTTAGCTAATCTTTGTGCTGATGGAAGATCAACAGATTTATTAACTGTTTCTGCCGTAACTGGTACTAGAAATTAGAATGATCAAATACAAAAAAAACTAAGTTATAAATTCTTACATTTAAAATCAAATTCATCATCAATATCTTTAAGTCTAGCATCAATTTCATCTTTTATTTTTTGATCAAGTTCACTTGATATAGGTGATTGTATTTGTGTAGATAATCGTGTTATAGTTTGATGTATTATTAGTTTTTCTTCATTAATTTCATTTTCATTATCAACAATAGGAAGATTATCATAATCAGTATGACTTATTGTTGATGATGATGTAGGTAAATCAATTAATGATGATGATGATATAGTTAATTCATCAGATATTTTTTGACCACATAAATCAAGATTATTTTCAAATGAACGACTTTTTGTTGATGTTGTATTATAACCATTGGTCATTGATTTATTATTTAAATATCCGTTTGTTAAATAAGTATTATTATCTAAAGAATTTTTCTTGTTTATAACTAATGTATATGGTGAAGGTAGATGCTAAATTGAATTGACAGGAATCGATGATATGTATGTACCACTATAGTCTAATGTATGAGATAAGCGACATAAAAAAAAACGCACAGAAGAATTCTATTGATAATTTATTATCAAATGTTAGGTTCATAGAACTACTTATTGATACATTGATTGACCTTTATTTAGTCGATTAGGAATAGAGAAGCAAGATGTTTTGTGTCTGTTTATCGCAAAGAATACTATTCTTTTTTTTTTTTTCTAAAATGCCAATTCTTCTTGTGAATGAAGGATTAGATTCAGGATGCAAACTAAATATTGTTGAGTGTCATCATGAATAGATGTATGTATGTATATGATAAAATCAATCTCGGAAAAAAGATGTGCAAAGCAATTTCGAGTAAAGCAATAGCTTAAGGAAAAAAAATGTCGTTCTCATAGAAGAGAATATAAAAAAAGACACAACACAAATAATATATTGTCTTATTTTTGTCTATGTATTCTAGAAAAAAAAAATCTAACTACAACTTGATGTTTCTATGATGGTAAATCATCAATAGCCGTCTGTCGATGTCAACAATAACAACAATCTGTAAAATAGTTAAGAATAACTAAGGACAAGTCAGTTGTTTTATTCTTATTCTTCGTCTGTGTGTCACATATTATTATCTACTCATAGATTTTTTTTTTAACTGCTTACTATTCTGTTTACCTGTATTTTATAAACAATAGATTGATAATATTTTTGTTCGTATTATCAAATTGAATATAATACAGAATTCGATTACAATAATCTTATTATGATCATGGATAACTCCCAAGTGTTCGTCCTTATATATATATATGTTATTAAATGGTTCACTAAGATGCAAAATAAAACTGAGTTATAAATAGACTAAGGATGTGTTAAAGTATACGGGGGGAAAAAAACTACTTTTATTCAATGTGCCGTAAACAAAGAAATATTCACGGCTATCTCGCTCTTTCTTTCGTCTTCTAATTCCTCGAGACTTTTATCCCATTATATATCAGAGAACACAGCATGGACAAGGGAGTCCCGCAAGCATACAAATATGCATGTTATGTGCAAAGAACAAAAGAAAAAAGAACAAAATCAATTATATTCATTAATACTCACACGCATAGAAAAACAAATAGTAACCTCGAAAGTGGGTGTTAATAGTGAAATTGAACACTTTTGTAATCATACGCCCGAAGATGTACATTTAAAAAAAAAGAGAGAAAAAAGAAAGAACAAGTATTGTAACTAGCTTTATCTTTTGTCACAACTATAAGAGTTGTACAAGATTAAATAAATCGATATGCATACTAATCTGATCTTTTAATCTCATAATTAAAAAGAAAAAAAAAAAAAACGAAGAATTATCTACATTCTAATAAAACAAGCAAACAAACTTCTTTTTTTTTTTCTTGTTCTTTCGTATGAATTTAATCTATGAAGTATGTGAAGTTAATACATGAACATCTATCTAATGGGTAACTCGAAAGAAATTCAACAAAACTACAATTTTATACCTGATTTCAATCGAATACGAATTCGATTACCGGATAATTTTAAATTTTTTTCAACTAAAAACAAAAAAAAAGAAAAATTACATAAGGAGAAATAATCTAATTTAAATTACATTCAACTACTGTTTGTCCAGCTGTGCTTACACCATTTAATTCAATCACAATATCACCAGGTACAATCTAAATAAGAAATTTTATACTTACTTTAATCAAAGACAAATAACAATTTGAAACCTTAGCAAGTGATCTCCAAATATGTACTGGAAGACGTGTTGCATTATTATTAATAGATCGAACTTGAATAATTGAACGACAAAGTTTTATATTTATCCGACTATCATTATTAGTCAAATCTTGATCATTAGAAGTTTCTTCAGTAATTATTTCTTTTGATTTATCATTCAAATCATTTATCCATTCGATACCAAAATCATTATCCAATAATTTATGACGATATCTATTAAGATAATATATAAAGAAAATATTTTATGTACAAAAAAAGATAAAGAGTTACACATACAAATCAATAACTTTAACAGTTGGCATTAATGCTATTTAATATATTTTGGAATTGACTATTTTGATCAATGAATTTGACAGCAAACGGTGAGTCATCAAAAAAACGGAACACAACGAGAGAACAGATGAAGAAGAAGAAAAATTTTCTTCTTTTTTTTTTTTCTCTTTGTTTCATTAATAAACCAATAGAACTATTGGTAATGACTTCGTCAAAAATACATTATATTCTCATTTCCCAAGATAATTTACTTTATAATTTCCATATACAAATGAGAATCAATTCGATTTGTAGATGCGCGACATCCAAACCAATGACTGCACAAAATTTTTACAAAAAAAATTAAAATCTTACAAGTTAAATTATTCAGGGAAGGTACATCTTCAATTCCTTGACTTTTGTGCTCTTTGACGTCAACAATATCTAATGAAAAATTTAAGAAAAAGTTTATTCATCTTTGAATAATTTTCTAGATCATTTATTCCAATTTAAGTGAAAAAAAAACTAGAACAATCTTCTATTGAGTAATTTACCAATCGAATGATTTATGATCTCTGTTTGATTGACGTTGGAAAGTCATTTGAAGAATAATAAATACAGATGCCTGAAGGACTTCAACGGAAGTAATTAAGTTTCACAAATGGATACATGTTATCTCAATTTGCTATCCTATATTCATATATTATATAATCATTAATAGAATTTTACAAGAATTGGAGTTCGTATTACAGTTCTCTAATCATAAATGATGATTGAATTTTTGTTTCCAAGGATTTTGTTTGTCTCTTAATAGTATTATAAATGATGATAAGATGAAGTGAAAAATCTATTAGACATCAAATTTTTTTCTTGAAAGAACGATGAATAGACAAATCTTAAATTAGTCAAAAGTTTTATTTTTGCAGTAGTAAACATGTATATATTCAGAGAATGACAGAAAAAACGACATCGACACAATTTGTAATATGTCCTTGGAAACTTATAATATCTTTGCTTACATGCAATATTTACACCGACGGGCTTTATTTGATTGTTATTTAAGTTAGCCGTAGAAAGGTTGACAGGAAAAAGGACTAAAGAGTGCTTTAAAAAATTCTGAATAGCACGAGATATACTTTCTTGTATGAAGTAATATTAACATTCTAATCAACATTAAACACAAGAATGTTCACGAAATTTACTTGTTTGAATATTTTCTCTACAGGGTCACCATGATCCTCAATCATTTTGATCAATTTCTTATTCACATTCACAAGAACTTTTGCATTTATGCACGAAAACAAGTCAATTAATTATGATTTTCTTTTTGATTTCGTTATTCAACAAAACATAATAGAAAATGGTAATTAACTCGATCATAAAGTTGTTCTCAATCATTGGCTTTAACTCAATCGTTATGCAAGACGCTGTATTGGGTCCAGATAGGGTATGGACGTTCTCTCCATCTACATATGCACCCATACTCTGAAAAAGGTTTTTGATCAGAAACAAAAACAAAGTTTTATCTTTCACACCAGCATTAAGCATTCATTCGTATAAAAAAAATATGGATTAGTTAAATAATATCTCTTCGTAAGAAAACTATATAAATAAAAAAATAGAACATAAATGACTATTATTTTGTATATTATTAGCAATCGAATATATAGCATTGACTAGTCTTCAAAACTTGAATTCCTTTTTCATGACAAACTATGTCACACACATATATACATACATACATATTTGTTATCATGAAATAATACTAGTAGTACTTCATATCGAAAGATTTAGCAATCCTGATTTGCGTACAAAACAACTATTGCATCTATCATCAATGAAATTAATATTATCAATTTATACGTATAATAATTCTACAAGAATTCAGGTAACAAAACACATGTTCAATATATAAATATTCATTATTTTGAATAATTTTACGCAAGTAAAAGAAAAGAGAATGAAAAGAAAGAAGATGAGGCTAAGGAGAGAACAGAGATAGAAGAGCAATGAGGTAAGGACAGCGGCGGTAAGAATAGAAAGGTGAGGACAATATATATGTAATATACGAGTAAACGATAGGGAAAGATTGAATATCATGTATGAAATCTAATGAATGGGCAGCGTTACAGTGTCGGTGTAAGTTTGAATCTTCTCTTCTGCGAAGCGTACATCTTCATCTCGCATCGACACTCTCGTCAACTCACCTGTCCAAAGCCACAGTCTCAGTTACATCCGTACACATCCATGCTTCACTCATCTTATGATCGAGATTTTAATTTTTCAATTCCATGCATTCCAACAAAAGCTGTGGGATGAGTTTTCATCGAATTTTCATGTTGTCGCCCTTTTTCAAAATTTCAAGGAAATAGGAACTTGCCGCTAAATCATATAGACAAAGCCGATAGTACTTTAATCGAAACTTATCGAAATCTTTTTGCATGATTTTATCTGCATAGGCTTACATCTGTTTTCGAAAACTTTAACAACTTTTGTGATTGTTCGCTTTCAGAAAAATATACATTCTTTGAGCTATAAGTAAATTCGGCTTGATTATTTATTTCATGAAAAAAAAAAAGATATTCTGTTCATAAAAATATACTGTCGAACGTCTCGAATTCTATCCACAGCTGTAGTATTTCTTCAGCTTTCGAATATCTCCTGAACTCAGCTTGCCAAGTCGACCCATGTATGGTTCCCAATTTTCGTAGCCGCTCAACGATGGTCGAATGGTTGGTTTGCCATTTATTGAGAAAGCATCATTGTGATAGTGCATAATTGAGCCTAGAAATAATTATCTCAAAATGAAAAGACTGCTGATCGCTTACCATAGTCATAGGGTTCGCCGAGTGTGTTGATTTCGCTGGTTGTGTAACGTTGGAAGTTATACTCCATACCTGAAAGAAAAAACGAGCCTCGTTTAATCTACTGAGAAAACCCATCGACCTACCTGATATTATGTTCTCTGGATAGACCTTGACGTATTTATCGCGATCAGGTCGTGTTTGCTCATGAGCAAATCCCAAAGCATGCAAGAATTCATGAATAGCCACTTCTTCATAAACACATCCGGGCCGTTCCAATGATACATCTTGAGCTCCGTTGTCTTTCGTTCTGCCCATATAGGACCAACAACTGTCAAAAAAAAAACGCTCAAGACTCAACATACGAAGAGAAGATACTGACGTACCCTTCGCCGGGATAGATGCGCAGCCAGACTGGATGGCTACCTCGGGGAACAAACTTGATACAGTTGTTTGTAGCTGAACTGATGGCTGCCATAGCTGCTTTGATGGTGTTCTGTTCCTGTGTCGTATAACCCCAGGAAAACTCATATGGAACGGTACCACCCGACCATTTGCCTGATACTTGGTAAGCATTGCGACCACGAGACACTGCGATATCACCTTCTACCAAATGAATATCCTTTCGTTTATTTTCTGAGAGATTAGGCAGATTGAAGAGATTCGCAGCACCCGTTGTTTCTGGTTTTGGCTGTGGTTGAGAGATTTCGTCTCTCAATTTAACTTTCTCCAACGAGTTGTCTTGGTCGTCGGAATAAAAACGGCTAGCCAAATATTTTTGTAATTCAGTCTCTGTACTGTCATCATTATCAGTTCTCATTGATCTGGCATTCATTGTCCTGATCAAGAAAATCATTACGAGACATACCAGCTGAAAGCGCATGATTACTGTCGTATTAAGTATTTGTATTGCACAATGTTTCTTATTTTTATTTATGCATTACTAGCAGATATTTATATACCTCTCAGCAAGGATTCATTTATTTTATCGCATAATTTATCCGATTATACGAGTAATGTTTATTATAAATATTGATTCACACTCTCTTATGAATGTAAGACATTCACCATCAAACAACTATTCATTGGTTAATATGCTCTACAAGAAATATTGAGCTTCTCATTCCGAAAGAACCAACCAGTCCGCATAATTTATATGGTTTCTCAACTTAACGAAAGGTATTTGTTTTAATATCGAGTTCTACTTACTGAAAGAGGCCATTAGCTAAACACACAAATTGTTTAGGCTTGTCAAACATCTGGACGCCTACACGCAAAAAATATACGGGTTCTGTATTGTACTATGATGGTTTCGTACAGAGCCTTTATTTTTTCAAGTTGTAGGTGATGATGAGTTTAGAATTTATGATTGAAAATCGAGCTACATGATCTAGATTTCGATCCTGCTCAGAAGGTATATTGGTTGTACATTGATGATGCCTGCATAACTCTCGATTATGTCGTTGAAACCGAACTAAAAAGTAATCATCAAGCGCATGTGATAAGAAAACAGTCAAAGTGATGTTGCGAAATCAGATTGAAAGTTGAGGGTGAATAGCGAAATTCTGAAATCTAGCGTACCTTATGTTTTTAAGATTCCACAACATTCCTGAGTATTCCCAGTAAGTGTTGAAGAGGCTATAAAGACTAGTCATCTGTGTCACAACAGCTTCTCATATTGGTATTTCGTTTTCTTTTTTTCTTCGTTCGTGATCACCGATATATATATATATACATATCGATGCCTACCTAATTGTAATTGATTCAGTTGTGGTTCTTAGGTTTGACTAATCTTCATCTCAAGCACAAGAACTGAACCTGTTTCTTCGTTAATCTGTCAATACATTCAGAAGATTTTATTCTGACAAAGTTCCACATGCATAGCAGCATCGATGAATTCCTTTCTTAATAACTAAAATTTGTCATGCTTTGATACTAATGATCATCTAATTAGCGTAACAGTATTCAGGAATGTTCGAATCATTTTATTTTCAATTTTACTTGCTTCAATAATTGGTAATAATTTTTCGATCGGTGGACGCTAAGATTTCTCACTATTCCTATGAATATTTATTGAAATTATTTCTTTTTAGTTCGTAATATGTGTGTGCGTGCATGGATGCAGACAAGAGCCGCATCTACATTTATACCTACCTCTTCTTTGTTTCTCAATATGCACCGTAGCAATAATAAGCTTTTTATTGAAGAACTCAGATACAAGTTCTATTATTTTTACTGTTTATATA